ACACGAGTCAGGTCATGAATATCCTAGTGTTAGAAAGATATAGAACAAGTCAAATACAGAAGAATTTGGGGGCGAAGGGGTTGGGGAGGGGAAGCACTTTTTAAGGTACTGGTTTAAGACTGAAAACTGGATAGTGAACCAGTGTTCTGTGTACAGGTAGAAAATGTCAATATGTTGATATGCGAATAGAGAAAAACTTGTAATGAAGCTGATGCAGCCTCAGATCCCCCCAAATCTTCTGAGCAAATACGGCAGTTAAAAGAAAAAAACACATTCCCATCAGACTAGAAAAGCAATGTGAACTAAGATTCACTGAAGCTTTAACACAAGGAGGGAAATAGACATGGTGAGTGTCTAACGTAACAGTGGAATGACCAATATTTGGGCTGAGCAGTGACCTATATTACTGCCAGAACTTACTCATGGGTGATGATTGGGAGTAGTAGACTTTTGTTGTTGTCATTCAGGATTCATTATCAAAAAGAGTGAAATACTGTTCTTAAGTAGTCAGATACCAGGTGCAAATGTTTTCTCATACATACATATGTATATATATACACATATATATGTAGTTCTTAGCTGCTATTTTGTTTGCTTTTTCAGAGATTGACTTTTTCTTGACATAGAGAACAGAATGGAGACTCCATGGGAACAAATGTCCTTGTTTGGCTCAGTTAAATGGAAGAGTTAAAAAGAAAAAAAAAAAAACTGTGGAAATTGACTGAAATAGCAGAAGCAACATGAAGGCCAATGCTTTGTGCAGAGAATCTTGGGATGAGTTTCATTTAGATCTGTTAGGAAGGGAAGTTAGGGTAGTGTAAGAAATCTGTAGGATGTAAATAGAGCTGCCTTGTTCCATTGTTGATAAATAAATGATCAGCAGAGCAAGTGCTGTTGATCTCTTACTTTCCGGCCATGCTGCTCCTTGGCAGCAAAAATCTTAGCTTTCAAACCTGCTGTGTATAAGTTATTGAAAGTATGAAGACTTATGAAAGTATGAAGTTCTTAGTGCTTCTTGCTGCCTACTTAATGTTACAGGGTGTGTCAACAAAATAAGTAGGCTTGTCTACCTCAATGCATGTGGAAGGTGAAAGTTGACCTCAGTGAAAGCAGGCATTGGCTTAGGAGTCTGCATAACACCAGTCCAAAGATGGAGAGAACCCCAAATTTTAAAGGCTTTCCTGTAACATTTTGAGTGATGCTTTTTATCACTGTATGCCCTGCACAGTAGATCTTCTGGCTTTCTTTCCAGTTACTTGTGTTCTTGTTCTGTATTCAACAAGTCTTTGGAGCCTGGTGCCAAAGCAATCATATCAAGCTTTTCTGAACTGTATGGGGCTTATATAGCCTTAATTTTTTTGCTCTGTTGAATGGGGTGTCTGAGTGTTAAAGACTTACTCAACAAACTATTCTCATCAACTGTATTTGTCTTGGCAGCCTTTTTAAAGGTTGACTTATGCTAAAGCAAGAGTATGCCACATCAAGTTCAGTACTCTTAAGTTAAATGCAAACAGCTCCAAAGGGATGTGTGAATGCTGAATAACCAGTCATCTCCATAGAGCATGCATGTGACCTGGCACAGATTCAGGGGCTGCTGCCATCTCTATTCAGAGCCTTGAGCAGATTGTCAGAGAATTCTCCTTTCAGTCCTGCTTATAAAGGACTTACTTGAAATTTGTGCAGGTCATGTATCTGATTTATATTTAATGATATGAGAAACACATTTATCAATATGATGGCTTTTTATTTAAATGTTTTTGTGCTTAAGTTGAGCGAACTCAGTATTCTGTGGGTTTACTTTCTACTCTTTGGAATAATAAGCATTGAGAATTGGATTATTATACTTCTTAGTTCCTCCTTGTGACATTACTTGTGATACAGATCTTAGTTTTTCTGCATTATTTCCTTCTTTTGGAAAAGAAATTATAGAAGCTCCTGAAACCAAGCTCTAGTGAAAATGCTGATGTGGAGACTTGGCATTACCTCCCTTGCTGTTTAGAGCATGCTGAAGGAAGCACTAAGCATCACTTGACTGGTGTGGAGGAAAGGAAGGCATTTGAATTTCTTTTTCTGTAAACTAAGATAGCAGCATTGCTGTTTTCATGGTGCTGCAATGGACTGGGCAATTGGTTCAGAAAGTGCTAAGATATAATATGTGGGGGGACAGAAATATTGTCTTTTTAGCTTTTAAAACTGATCTGAATATGGAAGTTCCAAAAGGCACCGTTGTTTTCAGTTTTTATTTCCACAGAAGATTAGTTGTGCAGATGATTCTGTGGAAGAGGCAGCAATAATTCCAAAGGGCATGGACGCTTCATTGGCTAGGTGCTCACTTCTCAAGTAGAGAGACCACATCTTCAGTTTCTGCTTCATGATTTTAGTGCAGTTTGCAGAAGGAGGGATTCACCCTGACGTTCCCAAACTTCCATAGCTTTTTTCCACAGAAACACCCATTCTACAACCTTTGGAAACAAAACCTAAGGACCAGTGTTGTCATGGCTGGTATCTATCTGTAGTACCACATGTGAGAAGGTTTAAGGGAGGACTTCAGACGAGGCTGCTTTCATCTGAGAAGCCTGATGAAAAATGTGACCTTCCAGTTACCAAGCAATGTTTTGGGTTTTTGTTTTTTTGGAAAAACACACTGTGCTCATTAATTTCTTAGTCTGTATGTACTAGACTTGTCCTGCATAGTACTGAAAGGCAGGGTTTCTCCTAATGTGAATGCTGCTCAAAGGAGGGAGGGGAAGCTAACATCTGTAGTTTTGTAATGCTTGATTTCTGTCTCTGTTCAAAGATATTTAAATGCATATGCTCATGCAGTTAGCAGGAGTCTCAAGTCTGCCTGTATGAACCATATCTTTTCTTAGAAAAGATGGAAGCTGCTTAAATTTTCACCATAGGGGTGGACAAAGAGGCTCACAAATGGTTCTGCTTTCACTTTTGTTGAATATTTTCTGTGTCTGATGCCAGCTGCAGCTGTTTTTCTCTGCCACCTCACATAATACCATATTTCTAACAAGCATTTTAGTTCTTAGAGGTGGGAGACGACATCGCTGGCCTGTCATTCACATGCTTCATTGCTAGGCAACAGTTAATGTAATTCCATTGTTCAGTGACACTACTTTGAATCTTTGCTTTGTCTATAGAAATTGTATATCTTCATTTTGCCACGCTGCACCTAACATGGCAGGATTTCTGCAGTCAGATTAGCACTTGGTGTTTTGTGTGAAGTTGCCCCCTTGTTCACCTCAGCTTTTGTTGTCTGGAGGTGATACCTCACTGCTGGTCTTTGACTGTTAATTTTCACTTTCATGGCTGTTGTATCTACAGTCGTACTTTTTACTGGATGAATGTGAGCTTCTGGATGCTTTAAATTCCTGTGGAGTACACACTTACCTTTACTGCAGAAATAAAGGCAGAGAAGTGGAATACGTCGTTCAGATCCACACAGAACAGGGGCTGTTTGAGCTGGCTCTTAATATCTCTTTTTTTTTTTTTAAGCTAGTGTTTCTATAACCAAGTGCTGCAGAGGGTATTTGGAATGTGAGACCTCATCCTAGCAGTGCTTATCCAGTGTTGTTCCATGGAAAATAGTTGCAGTAATATTGCAGAACTAAGTGTAGATAGTAGCAAAGTGTGCTGAAATAATGGGCACCAGTTTTCTCAAATCTTGTTCTGTGTGCTATAGTGAACAGGCTGCCTAAGGAGGCTGTTGAATCTCCACCCTTAGAGAGTTTCAAGACTGGACAAATTGTTGAGCAGCCTGGTCTGAATTCCTTGTTGATCCAACCTTCAACAGAAAATTGGACTAAATGATCACCTGAGGTCCCTCCTGGTCTGAAGTATTCATTTGCAGTACTATTGCCTGATCCAGTCTCACAGTGCTTCAGTTGTTGGCACTAGCTGCCCTCTTGTTTTGCAGGTCAGGAGTAGGGGTGGTAACACAGCCTCTGAATGGGAAAGGAGGGCAGGAAAGGGAATGCTGCAGCCTGCCCTTCTTGGGTCCTGTTGAGTGAACTTCTGTGCCCGAGATGTGGATTGTGAAAGCCCTTACAAACCTTTACTGCAAAATGAAATTCCCCAAATCATGCCTTTGTCTTTGCACCTTCTGAATGGATTGTTTTAGTGTAGCCTAGAAAAGCAATGTAGTTCATATGCACTGTGACACCAGGGAAGTATCATGAAACATTCAAATGATGTTGAATGTCATTGCAAATCAATTGAGTATAATTGCTTCATTTTAAGTTTGAATGCAATGGCTTCATTCTGTAGTGAGTGTGGTGCTATTTGATTCAGGCCATATATTGTTAGATGGCGGTAACTTGAAGTGATTTGTTTTTTACCCCCACATTTTAGAAAAGGACCACTTTAAAACAGTAACCCTTAGGAAAATGGCTCTTTTCCTGTATCTTTCAAAAGTTGGTGCTTTAGGCTTCAAAAAAGCTGCTGTCTCTAGGAGAAGTTAGTTCACAAGGTGTGTATGCATTCCATTCTGACCTTAAATCATGGGTAGTCAGACAGCAAAATGAAGAAAGTAGTTAATTGATGGTAGTTAAAAACCACATACGTATTCTGAATAGCTGTTCAATTGCTAATAAACTGGCTCTGAAAGTGGTCTGAAATCCATTTATCACAAGTATACAGTTCATGGATGTAGGAAGCTGAGCAGCACAGGAGGGAATGTGTCTGAGAAGGAAGCAAGTTCTTTGTGTTCATGGTATGGTTACCCTCATTTCTTAACTACATTTGTTAGGAGACTAATAAAGCATAGTCAAAAGTAGAACCATGTAGATGAAATGTAATTGGGAAGCTAGCCTCTGTGTGAGATATTCGAGACAAACATACAGTGTGATCTAGCAAAGATGAGTAAAATAATAAAAATATGTATTTCTGAAGAGCACTACTTTGTAGTACTTGATAAAAAATTGTTACACAGTAGCCTCACAGATGGGAGAGTTTGGTGTTCAAAGAAGCTTAAATGTTACTGTCTATTGTAGGCAGCAGCAGGCATACTGTGCTACGTGGGAGCCTATGTGTTCATCACATATGATGACTATGATCACTTCTTTGAAGATGTCTACACGCTCATTCCAGCAGTTATTATCATAGCTGTGGGAACACTTCTTTTTATTATTGGACTTATTGGATGCTGTGCCACAATTCGCGAAAGTCGCTGTGGACTCGCTACGGTAAGTTGCAGTGCTGCTGTGTGATGGTGTTCCCTTGTTGTGTATCTGGCCTTTGTCCTTTTAATAGATTTTCAAAATGCATGTTTTTTTGTAATATTTCCTCTTATCGTGCTTTATCACCTGAAATTTTGTTAGTTTTGTTCCAAACATCCTATTTTGGTTTTCTGTTCTAAGTAATGGTGTTAGTTTGCCTGTTCAGGCAGCAGAAGAGTCTTTGTGTTTCACATTTTATTGCTGTGATCTTTCTTTTTTTTAAATCATCTCCTTATAATTAAGTCAGAACAATGTTAAATCTGTTTTTTTCTGATTGAAAAAGCTGGAATGGGAAAGGGAGAAAGGTGAGATAGGAGCCTTCTCGTGTTAAGCATGTGGCATTGAGGCTGACTGGGAATGATTGTGATGCTTAAATGTTCTTTGTATGGCTTAATTTGGACACTTAGTTTCCAGGAATTTGTTTTCAAGTGTTTTAAATATAACTCTAGTTTAAGAATTAGGTAGGATCTAAGTTAGGCCAGTATTTAAATTATCCCCACTTTGCTGCTGTTGGATGCTGTCTAGACTAATTGAATGCTTAAAAGTCCTCTCAAGTATACTAATACAAATACATAGTTTGTTACTGCTTTTGTTTCAAGACTTGATCTGAAAAAACATTCCCTTAGTCTCTCTGCCAGTTTTAGGAATAGCCTGGGCAGCTTCTTCATTGTGTGGCTGTAATATTTACCTAATAAAAGGGTGAAAAAAGTACTTCATTGAAGCACTTTAGTATGGCTTTTCAATCCAAATGATCAGCATTTACCTGACTGGGTGGTTCTAATTCTTATTACCTGGTAAAACTATAAGCTCTAAAACTTCAGTCACCTCAGGACTTGCTTGATCAACTTACTTGCCTGCTTTACGTAATTTGCTAAGTTGAAACCTGAGAAATAACTTCATAATAAGTCAAAGCCTGTTCTATGACTTTCAGATAGTCAGTTGTGAAAATGTTTGTGCAAATTTTCTGAACTGTGTTTTACAGTTTGTGATCATCCTGCTCCTGGTTTTCATTACTGAAGTTGTGGTGGTGGTTCTTGGATACATCTACAGAGCAAAGGTAACCTTTAAATTTCAGTAAATATTTTACTGTGAACTGTCATCAAAATGCTGAGATGCAGTCTTTGCTGTAATTGGTTCTGTAAAACTTCTAGTGGATATTCATTCAGTGTGCTAATTTGAGATTGATATCTTAAAATTTAGAACAGCAGTGTCTCAAACTTATTGATAATAGTTTAACATTATCAGTTACCTCAGTATACATTCTATTTCTGGTATCTTTGGCAGTGCACTGAAAAGATGAGTTGATCAAGTGGGACTGTAGCTTGTAGTACAAGTGGTCCCTAGAAGCAATTGAGGAAAGCTGCATACTTCCTGAGAATGGGAAACATGTTGGATTCATATATGATAACTTGAACAGTTGCTTTTTGCTCAAATTTATGCACAAACATAGCATATAATGTTGTGGTTTTTCGGAAATGACCACGCATCTGATCTGAGCTAAGCTGCAGTCATTCTGAATTCCAGTGTAAGAGTGGTTTACTGCTCTCTGGTTAACAGCATTCAGGACAGATAAAAGATGCATACATCTGTCTTCTGTAGCCTGTCTGAAATTACACACTTGAATTGATAATTGGATTGGTCCCAACTTGTATCTTCCTTTGTCTTGCTGCTACACAACTTCACAAGCAGTAATGAAGTGTCAGAGCTTGGGAGAAAGAAGGGAATGGAGCATCTTTTTAGTGACAGCATGGCCTTATGTTAACCTAGCTGACTTGCAGGAGTCAGTATTTGAAAACTAAATTTTGAATCTTTTCAAAGGGCAGACAAAGTTAGTGTTAGTAAAAAATGGCTGTTTTCTACTACCCTTTGGTACTTACTGTCTTAAACTGTTGTTCTCAAGGGCGACAGGAGTGTCATACCTATTGTAAGTGAGATTGGGAGGTGAGAACTGCCTAGATTTTTGATTATTTTTGATTACTTTTTTCCTGATTAATTGCTGTTTGGACATGCAGAGGTGGGATCAGGAAAATCAAGGCCTAGATGGAACTGAACTTGGCAAGGGATACAAAAAATGACAAGAAGGGTGTCTTTAGATACATGAGTCAGAAGAGACAGACAAAGCAGAAGGTACACCATCTGGTAAATGAGAAGGGAGAACTGGCTTCATCAGACATGTAGAAGGCTGAGGTACTCAGTGTATCCTTTGCCTCAGTCTTCACTGGTAGTCAGACTTCCCTTGCGTCTCATGTCCCGGAAACCTGTAGGTAGGGATCAGGGGACTGAAATCCATCCCAGTGTAAGAGCAGAGCAAGTCTGAGAGGGTTTCATGAGGCTGAATGAGCACAAGTCTGTGGTGCCAGATGACATGCATTTCAGGGTTCTAAGGAACTGGCTGATTTGGTTACCAGGCCATTCTCTATCAGGTTAGAAAAGCTGTGGATGCAGGTGAAGTCCCTGATGACTGGAACAAGGGGAGACATAACTCCCATTTTTAAGAAAGGAAGATGTTAAGACACATGATAAGGATAGCCAGCATGGCTTCACTGAGATTGTGCCCAACCAGTCTAGTGACCCTCCATGGAGGAATGACAGCATCAGTGACAAAGGAAGGGCAACTGATGTTGTCTGTTTAGACTTGTGCAAAGTATTTGACATGTTCCTGCATCACCTCCTTATCTCTAGATTGGAGAAATACGGATTTGAAGGCTGGACTGTTTGATGGATAAAGAGTTAATTGAATGGTCGCAGCCAGAGGGTTGTGGTCAGTGGCTCTGTGTCCATGTGGAGGCTAGTCACAAGTGATATCCCCTAGGAGACTGTCTTAGTACCAGTGCTCTTCAACATCTTCATCAATGACATAGTGGGATCAAGTGCATGCTTAGGAAGTTTGCTGATGACGCTGAGCTGAGCAGGGCATTTGACACAACAGTAGGAGGGGACACTATCCAGTGGGTCCATGTGAATGTGTTCAGCAGTGCCTAGTGCAAGGTGTTGCACTTGAGTCATTCCAGTCGTGGATATGAGTACAGACTGGGAGAAGAACAACTTGGGAGCAGATCTGCTGAGAAGGATTTGAGGGTTCTGGTAGGTGTAAAGCATGAGCCAGCAGTGTGCTCCTGTAGCCCAGAAGGCCAGCAGTACCTTGGGCTGCATCACAAAATGAGTGGCCAGCAGGACAAGGGAGAGGTTTGTTTTCCTGTACTCTACCCTCATCTGGAGGCTCCATCTGGAGTGGTGTGTGCAGGCCTGGGGCCCCTGGCACAAATGTGATGTGGAGCCGTTGGAGTGGGTCCAGAAGAGAGCCACAAAGGTAATCAGAAGGCTTGGGAACCTCTCCTATGAAGAAAGGCTGAGGGAGCCAGGGGTGTTCAGCCTGGAGAAGAGAAGGCTCTGGGGAGATCTCACTGTATCCTTCCAATATTTGAAGGGAGTTTGTAACCAGGAGGGGGAACAATTTTTTACACTCTTAGTGGTAAGAGGGAATGGCTTTAAACTAAAAGAAAGGACATTTATGTTGGATGTTAGGGAGAAATTTTTTATTCAGAGGTTGGTGAGGCACTGAAACAGGTTGCCCAGAGATATTCAGGGCCAGGTTGGATGGGGCTCTGGGCAACCTGGTTTCATGGTTGGTAACCCTGTCCATGGCAGGGGGATTGGAACCTGATGATCTGTAAGGCTGTTTTTTTCATAGCTTTGTGCTTTGTTTTTCACACATACTGCCCTAACTGAAGAAGTCAAACAACATATGAGTATGTATTGAAAATTGTTTTAGTCTATCTAACAAAATGAGGATATGTTTAATTTAACTAATGCAATTTAGAACACTGATTCATACAGGAAAACAACTGATTTCAAACTAGTCTGAAACAAGTTAGGTTAAACTGTATTTAGTTTGTATCTGTCTTAACACAGACCTACTTGTGAAAATAACCAGTATTCTTGGAAGAGGACAATAAGCTTGTGCAATTGCTGCAGGAAATCCTTCACTTAAAGCAGTTGAACAACCTGAATCTTTCTGCCGTGATGTGTTCACAAGATATTCCTACTATAATTTGCAATTCTACAGAGTATGCTTGCTTCATGTTCAGTCCTGAAATTAAAATTCCTTGCACATAATTTCTTCTGGTTATTCTGAACTGATTTCTTTTTTTAAACTTACTTCAGTACCAAAGTTCAGAAAGACCAAACTTTCTGTGCATTTACGTAACAATTTACAGAATTGTACTACTCAGAAATTCTAGCAAGACTTCCTACAGAGTGAATATTGGACATCTTTTGCAGGACAAGTAATGATTCTTGAGTGGCATCCATTTTTAACACAAGTACTGAACAGCATCTTTAGCAGCTTGACTCATCTGCAGTAGCTTAAGCTATTCCAGTAGCTGTTGCTATGTACCACGTACAGCCATCAACATTTCTCAGAAAGCATGGAGGAGGTGGATTTTATAGAAAGTTTGATCACTGTAGGGTAGAATAGTCAATCAAAATAACTCATCTTTGATACTTTACCCACTCTTTGGTCAGAATGGGTGTAAATCAATAAGTGTACAGAGGTGTAAAATCAATTGGCGTATAGAGGTTAGGCTAAGTAGGATTACCATGGTGGAAAGATGATAAATGAAAAATGCTCATTGATGTTGTAGGCTTGCAATAAACTTAATGAGGAGTGATCTCCAGGAAAGGATCCTTCCTCAGTGGCAGTCAGCACTTAAATGGGATCTAGGAGAGGTGCAGCCAGGCTCCACCCCTTCCGGTAGCACAGGTGAATTACCTTCATCTGTGCTCCTGTGTCTGACTCATTGCTTGCCTCAGGTGGTCAATCAGAGGTTCAGGCTGTGATTCAGCAGTTCCCATGGCTTAGTTATATCCTGGTGGTCCCAAACAAAATGAGTTAGTCTGGGTGGTTCTACTGATTTTGCTTTGGAACTTTGAAGGTGAGTAGAAAGTGAAGATGTGCATACTTGCTCTTAAGGAGAGTTCTTAATTTCATGGTATGTCTGACATTGTGAATTGTGATAGTGTTACAGTAAAGGCAGTTTCTTTTCTGAGATAGACCACTAAGCTTCCTCGTCTAAAATCTTACTGAAGGTAGCTTCTTGTTTTTCTTGGCCATTAGCTTTAAGTTAGTAATGTATTTGCCAAAGTCAAGTCAGAATTTTAATAAGCTGTACCATCAAAGTACACTTATGTTGATGTGTTAGGGAATTATCTTGGTCTTCTCAGTTTTATACTTACAAGTGAAATTATTTTAACTAGACCTGTACTTCCTTTGGTGTGCTAATGCTGATGCTTTGCTTATGCTTCACAGGTGGAAGATGAAGTTGATCATAGCATTCAAAAGGTATACAATGGATACAATGGGACAAATCCTGATGCAGCCAGTCGTGCTATTGACTATGTACAGAGGCAGGTGAGATGACCAGATGCGTGAAATATTAAATGATTTTGGGCTGTATGTCACTTAACTATCCATTCAGTCTATGATTTGCTTAAATAACACTGTCGTATAATTTGTGTTACTTAAGTAACAAAACAACCTAATCTTATCACGTTTGTGCTTTTGGTATTACAGCTAAAACTTCTGTCTTGTTCAGTTTAATGACTGTTTAACATAGTAGCTCTTTACCTGTGTGTTTTTCAGCTGCGCTGTTGTGGGATCCATAACTACACAGACTGGGAGAATACTGTCTGGTTTAAACAAACTAAGAACAACAGCGTACCACTTAGCTGTTGCAAAGCAACTCTCAGCAATTGTACTGGCAGTTTGACCCGTCCAATGGACCTTTATTCTGAGGTAAGACAGCTCAAGCATGAGCCTAGGTAAGAGCTTTTGCTGACAATCATTCAATTTTCTTTTTGGTATAAATATCAAATCAGGCATGAAAGTTATTAATAGGAAGTAAACATGACTTCTAAAGAGAAACTTTTCTTGTTTTTTCTTTCTGCCTTATTTGATGCTATTGGAGATTTTTTTGGTGTGTGGTTGCCAGAGAGATATCTAACAAGCCTTTTTGTTTCAGGGCTGTGAGGCTCTGGTTGTAAAGAAGCTTCAAGAGATAATGATGTATGTCATCTGGGCAGCACTAGCATTTGCTGCTATTCAGGTAAGAGAATGTTCTTTGTAAACTCAAGTAACATTCTAAACTGCTGTTCAGGCTATTAGAGTATATGCAGGATGCTGACAACTTTCGTTTCTACTTGGATTGAGAGAGAAATGAACCTCAGTCAAAATGATGTAAATACCTCAATCTGCTGTAAACAGGAATGTATGTTCTGTTAGATTTCAGGATAGCTGAAAAGTCTGTTATGTGCAATAATTAACTAGAATGTAAACGATAAATTACATCTTGAAACTAATTATCTTAAGCATCAGGTATCTATCTCTATGAATGTGCTCTGAAAGCATTTGAGACTGGAAATAAAAATTTGCATATTTAATTTACAGCTTTGAAACAGATGGCTCATACTTCATGCCATTTTAGAGGTACATCAGTGTATGCTTCATGGCATGCATATGATGTTGAGACCGCCCACAAAATGCAGCAAGGTTTTTGATAGCATTATCTGCTCTTGTTTGGTAGAATTCTGCATTTTCTTGAAAGTGTCTTGATTGCTGGACTTGAACCAAAAAAGGGGTTCTAATGCAGAGACCCTGCTTGCGTAAGGTTGAGTGCAGGCTGTCTTCCACAGGAATTCTAATTGGTATAGTTTCCCTGGTCATTGAAAGTAACCAGGGAAACAGTATCTCAGTATTTACTAAGATTAAAAAACCACAGGAAAGCCACAAAACTATGTTTGTCTTTTTAAACATTCCTGTAAATTTTGAGCCTTCATCAATCAGGCAGGCTTAGTACATTAATCACATTTTCAGTTTGTGGCAATTTCATGGTCTCTGAGAAATGTACTACGTATGCTGAATCCCAAGAGATTTGAAAACTACTTTTCAATTACTTTTGTATTCTTAATAGCATTTGAATACAGAAAACATTATTTCTGTTGAATTGGGAAGCTTAAGCACCTTCATTTTCAAAACCAGCCTTTAGCTGGATTGTGTGTTTTGAAGGCCAGCAAATCATCTTTTGAAAATAGTTTTGAGAGAATAATTCTATTTCTGTTCTGCTAGGCTGTACTCATAGGTAACAGTGTATTTAGTACAGCTCTTGAACTGTCCAGAAGTTCAGATATGAAACTTAAAATTTGCCTTTAGTGCTCAGTGTGCTGAAGAAAGATATTTTTAATTGCTGTTCTTAATTTTTATCTCCTAAAGCAATATTTAGTCAGCTCAAATACTGAAATGCACTTGAAATGTAGGTATTTCCACAACAATAGTTAATCTGTCAGATTTTTATGTTGTAGAAAACGTGTTATAAGACTGAGCTGAATAGAGAGGAGGCATTATTCAGAATATTGGAGTTTGCAGGTTGATTAACAGGTCCACTTCAATATGCTGTTATAACTAATATAATTCCTCTCCGTTGGGATTGGACCAGAATTCCTACCACACACTTGAAATGCAAATGTGACTACTTGCATCCTTCTGTTCTTCCTGGCTAATCAATTCTCTGCAAGCATGTTGGTTGTATTCCTTTTGTAGTGGATGCTTTCATTTGTCTCCATGTCAGTAACGAAGCAATTGGCAGAAAGTACATATCTAAACAGCTTGAAAGAAAATAAGAACATCTGACAAATTTCTTTGCTGGTGCTGTAGTAATGCTGTGTGTCACAATCTGTGACACCTGTTGAGAAAAGTTAAAAACTTTATGTAGGTTGTGCTGGAAGTAATGTCTCCTGTGTTTCCATTGAAACTACAGCAGATACACAGAGCCCAGTAACAGTTTGATAGAGCAAATTCTCAGCTACAGAACACTTCTTCAACGTTGTTGCTACTGTTTGCTATGCATTTTTGCTGTGATGAACAGTAAGTAGCCTCCATGCCATGCTTGTGAAAACATGCACCAGTGGATGTGGCCCAATGTTGCTAATGACAACAAAAGGGAACAGAAAATTGGTGGGCATGTTCACCCTCTACTGCCTTTCCACCATCATCTACCTCTGGGCCAGCATAGTAAAATAGGACACATTACTTTCTGGACAGCCTGAATGCAGGCTGTTGGGAATACCTTTGAAGTCTAATAATATTCACTGTGTGGTTATCACACTTAAATCTGTCAGAGGTCAGATTTTTATATTCTACAGTTCAAATTTTTACAAGTTGGCATGTTTTCAAAAGATTTAAGTTTCAATCAAGTTAGTACTAAAGCACATTAAAACTATTTGAATTACTTCTCAAAACATAAGATGTGAGTTGTGACGTTGTCCTATTTGAAATACAGAATTGAAGTATGCATTTAGCCTGGTTCTCAGCAAAATAGTCTGCAGGGCAATTGAAATGCAGATAAGAATGAGAACTTCAGTGGATGGCCTGTAACCTATGCCATGTTCTGTAGAAGAGTAGTAACCTGTTTGTTTGGGTTTTTTTACCTTTTGGCCAATTCTCTTTTCATTCCTAGAAGCACTGTTCTCTCTGAACAGATTCCTATTTTGTGATGCAGTAAGGCTGTTCAAAGCTTACCTCGTAGCTTGAAGTCAGCAAATTTAGCCTTCACTGCCTTCTTTAAAATGGAAAGACTGAGAGGAAAAAAGAACTTTCTTAAGGATTTTGGTTTGTGGGAAGACTTAGTCTTTTCTGCATAGAATTAACTTGTAATGTGTTCATATTCCGGTTACCATGGGGATCTGGAAGGGTGTGATAATTCCTTGGTATCAACTACAGTGACAGCACTGAACTATTAATAAATCAGAGGCAAAATGAAGGGAGCAGAGGCATTGCAGTGGGTTAAGTGCTGCTTGATTAGCTGTGAGAGTTCATTCTTACATATCTTCTTTAGTAAATGATCATCTGAGATACTAAACGTGGCGTATCTGTACAGACAGTTAGGTTTTTAGCAGGACCAAAAATAGGCTAATTGGTTTGATGAAAGGAGATTGGGCATAGTTAATACTAGCAGGCAAATTAAAGAAGGGGAAAAAAAATAAAATCTGACTGTGGGAGATGTTGAAATATTTCTGAATGCTGTTCAAGCTTTATAAGATGTATTGTTCTTCAGTAGACTTCTGTTCACAGTATTGATTAGCAATGGAGAGAAACAGAATTAAATGCCTTAAAACTTCAGAACACTTCAGAGATGCTAGCTTATTTTTCAAAAATTACATGCTAAATTGTTTCTGTCAAGAAATGTGAAGTGTGAAAGTTAATTCTGTGCTTACAGTAAATTTCAGGAACTTGCTTGCTATTCACCCCCTAAAGCGTTTGCCTGGTTTAAATATTGACTCAAATTTATTATTTATTACATAACTCGATTTTTGATTTTTCAGGTTTTATGCAACTATATAGATTGAATAATTTGAGTCAGTCAACCAGGATTCTCTGTGTGAATAGCTGCAGAAGTGATGGAACTACTTGTATTTGAAACACATAGCTAGTATGATTTATGGACAAAAAAAAAAGCCCACAATGAAAGGAATGTTTCTGTCTAGCACACTTCATCTTATCTTTGTTTTCAACAGAGGAAAGAATGAAGGTTTTGTGCTTGCTGCCTGCAAGCCTTCTTCAGAGTTCTGTAGCCACTGGCGTTTACCACAAAGCTCCATCTCATAAGTCTAACTTGAGCTCGCCTTCTTTTTTTAACTGTGAATGTGGAAGGGTGCTTTCCCATGAAGAGCCATTCTGTCATATAACTCAGTTTTTCCCCTTACTTTGACACGAGATAATGTCCTGCTAGGAGTTGGCTTTGGACTGGAACTACCTGAGTACTGATAGAAAGTGAAGGAAGTGTGAAGTACACCAAGAGACAGACTGAGGTGCTTACTGTCCATATGCTTTTTCTGGTCCAAAGCTGAATTTGGTTATGGCTCCAAAGCAGAGAATAAACTACAGACAAAGAATATTTTAAATCTTTATATCTTGTTCCTTTCCAGGAAATACAAAACTTGCACTAAAATTTCATCATGCATGCTTCTTTTTAATCACTGCTTATTTAGACTAACATTTTTAAACCTCTTTTCTCTTTGATCTTTCATCAAACTTAACTAGGTTGCATGTACCAGTTAAGCTTTGGCTTCTAAAACTTTTTTATGCATTTGACATTTTCATCAGACTGACTTCAGAAAATCTCCTTCCATTGTACTGATTTCTCACAAAAGATCAAGCTTTATGGTTGTTGGCTTGTTGACCATCTGAATTCTTTTTTACTTTAAAGTCTCTTTTTAAGTAACCTCCTGGGGTGATGCTTTATAATCCAGAGTTATGAGAGGATCACCTTGAATATTTACATCTGTGAATAAAATTTTTCTCCATATGCATGTGAACAAATCAAGACAATCTTTCTTCATTGGCAGCTCTTTTTGAGTACTGAAGACCATACAATGCATCATTAAACATAAAAAGACTATACCTGCTAAAAAAAAAAAATCTAGCTCTGTAAAATATTCCTGACCATGTTTATTTAAGTCTTTTAAATGTATACAAAGCAATCATACCCTTAATTCCTGATGAACTTTTGCCAGCGTAGTCACAGCGCTACAGTAAGATTGAATGACAGGAAGCTGTCTAAAAGTGAGTAATTCATGTTGGCCTTGAGCTTTCTAGCATGAAATGTTAATAGAGCATCTGAAATAAGGTGGTTTATAAAACTCCTGGTTTTGTTCTTTCATCACAGCAATTGGTGATGCTAATGCATTTGAATTGTGGTCTTTCATAATGCATGCACCATCTAAACCTGTATCTTTTAGGAAAAAATGAGTAATTTCTTCCATCAGAATTCTTGTGGCAGCATAAATGTGGCTGACCAAAACAACTTCTGTTAAAGATGTGTATGTTCTTGAAAGCAAACAGAAAGGAGTGTTTGGCCTTTGCTTTTTGCAGCAGAAAGAGAAGCTTGTTGCTGTCTTTGTTATGGGCAGCTACAACCTCGCAGAGCGTGTTGGCAGTTTCTGTGAAGAAGTTGCCTTTTCTTCGTATTCAGCTTGTTTTCTCTTTTTCCTCCATAGCTTCTGGGCATGCTGTGTGCCTGTATAGTATTATGTAGAAGGAGTCGGGATCCTGCTTACGAACTTCTCATCACTGGTGGAACCTATGCCTAGAAGACAATGTGAACAACGTGGTTCAATCTTATCTCACTTGTGTGGAAGGTGAATGGGCCAGGTCTACTGCAATAGTTTTCTTGTCCTAAGCTTAGTCAGAGCACACCTTTCACAGATAAGAAGAGCTGTACTGTACACTGGTGACGGGCAAAGCAACTCAGCTTTACACACACCCATATATACCTGTGACTTTCACTGTTCTAGCCAGCAAGTCATGTATCTAAATGTTTTAGTATACTAGTAAACTTTCTGATTTCAAAACTATTTGCAAGTTAAGTGTAAATTGGCTGATGTGGAAGTCAAAGGATGTGTGCCTACTTTGGTAGATTACCTCTAAGCATTAACTGACTGATTCTTGCATAGAGAGATAATTTGTTAAACCTTCACTACATGGAACTTTTTTGGCCAAAGTTGTACAAAGGAAGCCAGCTGTATTTAATTTGAGAAGTATTTTAGTCTTGCCCCTCACCAGTGTCACTTTTTAAAAAACACTTAAGTGAAGTCCAGTACTCTTTATATATAAATAGTAAAACAAAAACTAACCAAAATCTTAGGATCATGCGACTGCAGTTTCGACCTTCAGAGATCAAACCTTTCAAGCATTAGTGTTTTAAAATACAAGCTGGCTTTTCAGGAGTATAATGTATGCACTACTGTTCTATAATGAAATATTTCATTTTTCTATGAGGAGCGGTTTTATGTGTTGAGTGAACTGTTAGAGTGTAGCTCTTAAACTGGTTTGGAAATAATGTAGCCATGTAGAGTAGCAACGTAGTATGTGAAAGTGATCTCAACTGTAAATAGTAAACCTGATTAAATAAATCTCTGTATATCCGCCCTATAATTGTCTGGTTTTTCTATTTAAGATTCCAGTGTATTGGTTCAAGTGGAGTCAGCAAGTGCTGTAAGCTTTAATGTATGAAAGCACCTGTTTTAAATAGAGATTTAAGTGAATTCACTTAAGGTTTGGTGGGAGCTTGTGTTCATATCAGATGTGTTCTTTTTATTTGCTGCGGTACTGAAGAAACACAGCAAAACAAACTTAGTTAAACTTAGTGGAAAGTTGACATGATTAGGGAAGAATCTGTAATTTCTCAGCAGTTGGAGATAAATACTTTGTGTTTTAATTACATGTTAATCTGTCCTGTTCAGATACTTTGTCTCCGCTCTATTTTCAAAGGCTTCAGTTACCTCTGCAGAAGACAGGAATGTTCAGAACGTCTCCTGCTTTTTCTCATGCTCTTTATTATGCAAAATAGTTTTGTTCAGCCACATTGATTGCAACATAGTGTTCTCAAATACCCAAAGAAATGTCAGTCAAGAAAGGGCAATTCTAATGTGTGGTCTGCTAAGACCAACGACTTTCTTCCTGTTGTTTCACTATTGTAAAAGTACACTTGTGGACTTCTGTGTTAATTTCTAAACATGGGCTGCAGATGATGTGCTCTTGGGGCCTACATTTTCTTTTTTAGTATTATATGTGGGTTAATAACCTGAAAGGCCTCTTGGGACTCTGGTATTAAATGTCATGGATGTGGGAAGTAAGCCTGCTAACGGAATCCACTGTTAGAAGAGAGAATGAATTTGAGGATTATCTGCATCATGTTGTGTTACATACATTATATATGCTTGGCAGAATCTCAGATTAATGAAACTTAACCTTAACACTTAAGAACTAGACAAGGACAGATTTTAAAACAGGTTTCTATTGCACAAAACAAAGGTAAGAATATCTCAGAAACAGGTCAGCTTTTACTAGCTATGAGGCACATATAAGCTCTGCAGCCAGCAGCTTACATGTACTTCTTTGAAGTCAGTGTAATTATGGAAAGATTTCTGCTACAGTGCATGTACTTGTTAATCTTGCTGGAAGACATGGATTTGTACTACAGGTGACTTGACTGCATAGCACCAAATACCTGCTTGTAGATCAGGGAGACCTCTGCATGTTTCATTAAATAAACTCATGCTGAAATGTAGTAACTTTTTTTTAATCAATAAATGCTTTATACCTTATTTGCATGAAGGTCTAAACCAACCCAATACAACTTATAACTGCTGTAAATTTGTTGTTGGAAACTAGTGGCCTTCTTGCATGATTTGTCAGCATTCTGTACACAATGTCTTGTATGACTGCCTCAAACTGGGAATAAGTGCTATCTCCATAGTAGTCAGATATGAAAAGAGATGTAGTAGGAGCTGAATGGTTTTACTACTGATGGTTTTTGAGAGATCGTGTATTGTAGATTTAGTTGGGTTGCTGTGTGCTTGTTAATACAAACAACAGGATCACACTCAAGTAAGAAGGAACATTACAAGTTCTAATTTAGGGGTTGAGATAGCACTGTTTTATCACCATACCTTCTGCCATCACTGCTACTGGTGTAGGCTTCCTGAAGGTAATTAGAAGCCAGTGAGGTCAAATATTTGTGTTTGTAACTAGTATATTTCAGCTTAATTAATGTTAAATATAACCATACTGTAAAAGTTTTGGATTGGCAATAAATCCATTTTGCTTACAACTCCAGGACTGCAAACTGATCTGGCAGGCTTCTGAAACTCAGACTTTGGTCCATGTAAAACCCTGAAGAAAAGCTACTTAATCCTGAGTCCTGTAGAAAAGGAGTTGCTTCAGTATTAAAGACAGAAGGCAAAGGTGAGGTTTATCCAGCTTTAGTTCCTGCATAGGTGTCCCATTAAAAGCTGTCAACAATAGAAGTACTTGTTCTACTTGCCAAGGAGTTGCTGTTACTGTGCATTTTAGACAAAAAGCTCAGGTGTGGGTTGCAATTATTCATGGAAGTACTATTCTGTGTACCTATTGCAATAGTAATTGCAGCTTATTTGGCACTTTGTGGCAGAAAAACATTGTGTTTGGGTGTGCATATATACAGAGAAACTGCTCTTTTGTGAACATGTTAAACTGATATTAAAATGTCTCTTGATACACTGGGCTAGTTGCTGCCAGTGTCAGGAATGTAGCTGAGAAAAGTTTCTTGAATTGCTTGTCTTCTGGCTGAGTTCTTACATATGTTGAATCCATGGTGTCTGCTACTCTTATGAAAACTCTGATCTTAGCAAACTATTCACGTGCTGCAAAAAAATGATAATCTATATTTCTGTCCTGTGGGAAAAGGAGTGCTATTACAGAGTTTCTCTTTCAGCAAGTTGGTGAAGTGGTATGCCTTTTCTACTTCACTTGTTGTTCAACAGCCTACACGAGGTTTGCATCCCAGTGTTTTCTTCACCTGACTGAAGATCCACACTGCAATGAGATATTCAGTTTTTTTTTCATTGTTGAGAAAAACTACCTTACTGTTAAGGAACAGTAGGAAGGTCTCAATAACGTGAGCTGGTCTGACAAGTAGTACTCTGATAAATAGTTTTTCCCACAATACAGGCTTTTCTTGTATTGTGACTCTTCAAATGAAGTTACAACATAATGAAACTCAGGCTACTGTCAGTGTTCAAGGCAGTATTGTTTTTATTGTCCTAATGAACAGCACAAAAGGCGAAACAGCTCCTTGGCCATCCGAGCAAAAAGTAAAAACCTGTGTGAGCAGTGTGGAATAGCAGTTTTTCTTTCTAGAATATTCAGTTGCTAATTTTTCTAGTTGTTTCTGTTGAATCCTGTTTAGCTTAGGACAGCAGTCTGCAGTGTTAACTACACTAGCTAGTTTAAAACAAGTACCAAAGGCTACTGAGCTATGATAGTATACCAGTTCAGTAGGGGCTACTTAATATTACTGAGAAAAATACCATACACTAGTCTTAGATGATCTTTGAAATCCTTTTCAACCTAGGCCATTCTATGATTCTATACTTAATTAACACCAAGGATGGGCAACTGTTTCCAATTCCAACTAGTTTGGTTTCCTCAATAGTGTTGTAGTTTGTGGTGCAGGTTCTGTTGGAGACAAGCCACATCTTCATTTGAGTGGCCCAGTATCTCTGGTCTGCTCTGTGATTCTTTGTTGTTTTCACTTATCATTTTCCTGCATGCCTTAGCTAGCTTACATACTTGAAACTGAAGTATGAGCACCATTCTCGTTAATATTTTAAACGTGAATTTTTAGTTCCTCCTTCAATTTTACTATCACTGATCAACTTTCTTTTTCCTTTCATCTTCCAGACGCAGCATCAACATGTTTTAGTATTTTTGAAGTTCAGCATTCTAGCAATCCCTCTGGATTATCTGGTAGCTGTACATGTCACACTTCTTAACTTTTAAATGTAGTTGTATTGACTGCTCTCAAGATGTTTCTTCTGTGTACTTAATTTTGGAGCAACCTATATAAAGTAATGCCTTCTATTTATTTCCATGGAGATGACAACAGCTACACAGAGCACAATAACATTATTTGATAGAGCAAATTCTCAGCTGCAACACTATTTTTCAACATCATTGCTATTCTTGGTTGTGTGTTTTTGAATGTGATGAACAGTAGCCTGCATGCTGTGCTAGTAAAAATCTGCCATCAGCAGAGGTGACCCACTCAGCACTGCTGAAATGCACCACCCACTGCCTTACTGCATTCACATCCACTGTTTGGTCTTCATAAATGTTCAGCAAGCACCAGTTAATGTCAGTGGGTGCCATCTTCTCCCCACGGAGGAATTCATTTCACCCCTTTGCTCCATCCACACTTCAGTCAGATGCCATTTTGTCAATGCCCCTCTGCTGCTCTCTGTCCCACAACAACCAAAGGTAATGGAATTCTGGGGGAAGGTTCAACCCCTACTGCTGTACTGCTAACATTCACTGTTACTGTTACTCCACTGTTTGGAGCAGCAGGCCTTGTGTTTTTGAGTACAGAATGTGTAGGATGTTCCTATCCCTTTATCTGCCATGACTTATCTGTGTCTAACTGAAATCAAATCTGTAACAGTGAGATATTACAGCATAGGAAATGCAGAACCAATAAATGACTTTCGGTACCCTGTTGATAGACTTGATGGAAGCTCTGTAGGACTGAGACTGATTACACTGTAGTGCATGAATTACATTTTCATGTTTCATTGCACTGTCAAATACTGGTAATATTATTTATGAAGTCTAGCCACTTTTCAGCATCTACTATTCTTAATGCTACTTCAGCCAGTGAAGCTACTAATACTAGTCATATTGATTCAGAGAGCAAAAGGTTTGTCTTGTTGTTAAGGGGGTGGGTATATCTGTATTGCTTGATGGAACTTCAATTTTTGATTCCAAATAGCAATATGTTTTCTTCACCCTAGCTGCACAGCTGAAATGGCCACTCATCCAAACCAACTGGATCAGGTGCTTTCTGCTGAAGAGGCAATGAGGTCTCTGTGCAGGTTGCACAAGGAATTATTTGAGGAATGACTGAATACATATGTGCTATGTGGAGCACGCAAGCATGCAGATTGCCCACAGTGGTGAACCTCACCTGATCCAGGGCTTTTTAACACATGGTTAAAAAAGGATATTTTCTCTCGCTGCTGTTTGAGTGACTGTGACATGAACTGTAATGCAAGTCCCATGTTTTACTTACTAATTACTAATATAAGGCTCACAAGAACGAGCTGCATTCAAACTATAGTCTGGTATGGTGTGGTCAGGTATGGATTTGTTTTATTAAGCAGGGAAATAGTCTGGGTGCAGTTCAGTAAAGCTAGTAAAATGTCTGTCTCGGGAGAAGGAAGATGACAGCTTTTGATTTTTAATTTTTTGTACTTGGTATTTTAGATGATACTTGAGACAGTACATGTGATAACAGTTGTAGTGATAGCTTCTGCAGTACAGAAATAGTGGACCTTGTAACTGGCTGAATCTTAGGTCTGAGATAAATCCCACTGAGATGCAGTAGAAGTCTCTAAGTGTGGTGGGTCTTAGATTTCCCCATGCACTGTATCCTGTAGCATATATGCATACTTGTATGAATGCTGTGTTTAGCAGTCTGCTACTTGAACCTCCAAATTCTCTTTTTCACATTTGCTCTTTGCTGCCACTCTGAGTGGAGCAAGTGCCCCTTATACATATAATAAGCTGACTTGGGATTCCAAATCCCCTTTCAAAAATTCATCTTGCTAATCTTTTCCTTGCTGATCCAGTTCGCTCTGGTGCTGGCTTGAATCAGCAAGTACAAACGTTGCCCTTCTCTCCTACTTCCTGGTGAAAGGTCTATGTGCAAGGAAAAAAAAAAGCCAAAGTAATCCTGCAACGTGTCCTTCTATGCAGCGTGTCACTTACTGCTCCAAAGTAGGGCTTAATCCTGGGCTACTTGTCACTAGAATGAGCCATAGCAGCATGAGGTCCCAGATCTATGCCCCTCAAACTTTGGAGACAGCTTTGCTTTCATGTTGGTTGTGTAGTGCTTTGGGCAGCAGCCCAAATGGGCCTTTGCCTCTTTGCCTCATTCCATAGATGAACTTTAGCTTTTTCCAGGATGATCTGCTGTCAGACCTTTGCTAGCATCAGTCTGTGACTGAAGAACCAGGATTAATTTCCTCGATATAAATCAAGTGCTTAAGATGTTTGAGGTTCTTAGGAGCTTCTGTGATTCCTTGCGTGCAAAAGCAGGAATCATCTGAAAAACTAGTTTCAAGCAAGACTGAAATGTTTCTCACACCTAAACAAAACTTCAGTAATTATCTATTGAATGGGGCTGCTAGTGAATTGAGTGCAGAGGGATAGTTGTCAAATGCTGTCAGTTGCAAGAGAAAGGTAGCCATTTTTAGTACCAGGCCTCCACCAAACAGGATATAGGCATGACTGCTTCCTAGCAGGTTCTACGGAATAATTGGGCAGTGCTGTTCCCAGCGAGTGCTTCCAGGGTTTGGAAAATTCTCCATTCCTGAGAGTAATGCTTGTTGCTAAGAGTCCAGCACTACACTATGCTCTTACACTTGGAATAAAACATCTGCTTTAAAAGTGTGAAAGTCACTGTTTTAACCTGGTAATGTTGGTACACATGGGTGGTGAAGAAAGGTGTTGGCATCATGTGATAGTGCACTGAGGATACAGAATGCAGAGCCAAGATAAACTTAGGTCCTATGCTGATAAATGATTTGTATTTTGTATTCTGCTTTTTTGTTTTGTTTTTAACAAAAAATTGGTACAGGATCCTGCAGAGGAGGGAGGATGTGTTTCTCAAGTTCCCTTCTATCTCAAGAATATGGCATCTCTGGTTTTGAATCCCTGAATTGAGCAGTGACCGTAGTAAAACCTTTAGATGCCACTTAGTGGAACAAAGTCACTGTCACTCATGTCTCCCTTCCTCACAATGGTTCAGACACAGGGAGGGCTGTGCAGCCCTTCTCTAAAGACAAAGCGTTTCTCATGTCTATCAGTGCATTGAAAGCTTTCCCTTTCACACTTACGTTAACGTTTTTATCCCAGGAAGGTTAAAGTTCATCACTTTCCCAAGAAGTTCCTACACAGACTGTTTACGGCTTAAAATTTCGAACAATTCTTTCTCAGATGCAGCTGTTGAGCATTTCTGCCCTTGCAAAGTGGAAAGGGATGTACTAAGATTCCCCCAACTCCCCCGTGCTCTTTAGATTGTGATTATTATCTCACGTCTGCAAACAGCAAAGCTGGGACTAGATGTTTTATACTACTGTTTTATGTTTTTAAATCTGAACAGTACAGGCTCTTCCAGATCTGATATGTAAAATTCCTTCTGATATATAAATATATATATATATTTGTTCCCTCACCCCCCACCTCACTCCTGTTATCCTTGTACACTCTTCATCATCAAGAAGCTATGTGGAAATTTCTAATTCTCAGCTGATTGTTACATTCTAAGCCCGGTTCTGTTTGCCTGCTGATTTTGGAGGATTTTGTCTTTTCCTTTGTAAATTTCAGCTATAACAAGTAAATTTCTCCTGATTTTGCTAAAGGATAGCTGGAAGCCCTGACTGATTTCTATTAGAGTTTTATCTCTAAAGCAAGGATATACTCCAGTCTTTAGTTTATGCCTTTGGGTCAAAATACAGTAAATCTGGCTTTTGAACCGTGTGCCAGACAGAATTGCTGCTATGTGACACGCAGCAGTGACAGGCTGTAAATTTGCTCTTAACTTTGCACCGAGCAGCTCTGTGCCAGGTCAGGTGTCATCTGTCCTCCAACGGCTGGTGGAAGGACAGGAAGAGCACTACCATGAGTGCTGGCTAATTTGACAGAAATATGATTACCTGTCCATCCTAGAAACAGATCCAATTGGCAGTGTGTGTCATCCAGCACTATAAAACTGAGGGTAACTGTGACCTTGAGCTTCTCTCTGCCAAAACATGAGTAGGTCCTTGAAAGTAGGTAATTGCTAACAAACATTTCGAAGAAGAGCACTTTTCCCTTTCCAGCGTTAGTTTTTTCTTAGTCAGTGGGCTATTATTATTTTGTTAGAACACACTGACCTGCAGGACGGCAATTCTCACTCCCCATCCAAAACCTATTCTATGAGAGTCATCTTTCCCCTAAAAAAATAAAAAATCAGCCCACTCATCAATCCCTGTAAGCTCCTAGCAATCATTTACTTTCCAGAAACTTGACGTGGCCTAGCATACCAATTTTATCTCCTTCCTTAAAAAACAAAACAGAACAAAAAAAAACAACCACTGAAGCAACAAGTAGGTGAGAAAAATATTTGAGAGAGAGATCTGAAGGAAAATGGTACAACTCCCAACCATTCTCTTCTCTTTAGCCCTACTACAGTGAGCATGCCTGAATCCACAGCTGTGCTATTAAAAACACCTGTGATGGGTATTCCAATTAATTTAGGAAACTGGTGAATGGTAGTGACTGATCCTAATCATGTTCTTTGTTTTGTTGTGTAGCAGCTAACTCTGATTTACTTCTGAGGCTTGGCAGCTCACTCCTGCCTCTAAGCCCACAATAATAAAGAGATGTGGCTCTGAGGGGTGAAGGCTGAACTAAGAGCACCTTCTTGTTTTCCTTGCTCATTAGTGCTGAGTGATATTTGTGCTTTAGGGTGCGTGAATTATTAGCAGCTGTGTGGTTGGAGAGCAATAAAGCAAGGGAAGAGAAGGTAGTTTTGAGCAGCAGAAACTGATTTTTGAGGATTGGCTATTTGTTCTGTACTGCTCAGAATTATTGCCAGCCTACGCTGAAGGTTAACAACATTTCAGTGCAGTAGACTCAGTTTATGTACTACTGATAGAGAGTCCCATGGGTTCTCAAAGTCTGCAAAGGTAAGCCAGCCAGCACTGATACAGCCAAGAGGTTACATACTGCTATAGAAGCCAGCATATTAGTTACCCACCAGTGCTTATATTAGGTATTTCTTAACACCCAGCCAGGTTCCTGTCAGGCACCACCTGATGCCTGGCTTGTAACGAATCAACTCTTGGCATCTGTGTGTTTCCACTTAAATTGCATATAGTAGTGAATGAGAGCTGCAATCAAGTATCTTCATCCATAAAATTACCTCTGGAAAGGAGCCCTGGACTTCAAAGGCACCCCTTCAAGGAGCAAAACAAGAAGGAATACAAGGTAAGAGTTGATGCTGTTAATATCTTATATACATGATCTGTCAGTGCTGTGGCTCAAGTATGCTGGAATTACTCTTAATATGAAGTCCAAGCAAGAGTCTTCAAGGAGGTGATACTCAAAACCTCCAGTAGCCACTGTGTTCCTGATGTTGGTGACTGCTCTATCTATTGTAGAAGCAATTGATTTTTTTTCTTTCTTTCAGTTGAGTACTTGCAAACAATGCTAGAAGCTACCTGTGTGTAGTAATGGACATGTAAAACTTGGCAGAAGGTCCTTTCTTTGCAACTAAGTCCTAACTGTGTTTGTTGGCTGAGTCTCCAGGATCCTTGTTACCAGTCTAATACTGCTTTGTCTGACCAAGGTTCTTCAATGGGCTTGTGGGCTGTTAATGGTATATACAGCAGCTGAAATCTGTTTTGTGCTTTAATGGGCCTCGCTGCACTAACAGGTGTTTTATAATTGCATATTCAACCAGGTTTTCCTATTCTTCTCCTTAATTAATAGCATGGTAAAAGGGCAGTAATGTACGTAACTGAGCCTGGTTTAAAAGTACTGTTGGTCTGAGTTGCATGCTTCCAGCTATTGAAAATTTGCTTCTGCTAAAGGAATAGTAGAATCTCTGCACTTCTTACTAGCAGTCTCATGACTGCGCTGCTCAAATCCAGACTCCATCTAGGAGAGCAGCAGGTGTGAACCTCAATTTGTTTGTATTCTGTTGTGATCTATGTGGGAAATGACTTCAGTCTTTCTTACCCGTCTTGTTTAATGGATAGAAGATGCCTGCTGGCTTCTTATGATCTAGTAAGAATTTCTAGAGATAACAGTTATAAGTCTGAAATTGTTCAGCATGAAATATTTGATGTCAGTTGCGCAAAATGAAGTCTACCCTGCAGTGCTTATTCAAAAACAGCTCAGTAACGTTATTGCAAATCTGCTTTAATTAGTTTGACTCTATTTACATATTAGCCATAGGTTGTAAGTGGGTAATTAGGCTCCCCCCTTTGCAGAGCAGCTGGCAAAAGCGTGTTCCTCACTGTCTGCTAACAGCTGCTTGTGTGTGATCCCATCCAGAGCACCAGAGTGCTATAGAGGCAATCTGCTGTTGTGGACGTGCTGTGAAATCAGTTTACTTGACAAAGCTGTGTGTGCCACTGCTGCTATGGCCCTACTTGTTGCTTGACACCTCCTCACCAAAAAATGGTAGTCAGGGTGGAGGTAGAGCCTTATCAGAAGTGTCTATCAGAAAAGCACCTCAGCCAAATACACTGGAGTTTAGTTTAAGTATGCCTGCCACTAGAAAGGATCTGTTTTAGTTTCACCTGAAAATCTAATGATTTCTTGAATGCTTTGGTTTTGTTACCAAATAGTTACCAAGCTGGAGAGGCAACATTATTATTAAGGCAGTGCCCTAAATTTGACCTTCCTGCTTTCTGTACTGCCTGGAATGGATGACACTGAAAAGGGTGTTTTAAGGGAGTGTGTGCGTATTTCTTGATATCTTTGTTTTATTTCTGACAAGTGCTGACACACTGATAGAGCAAGCTGCATAGATATGGCTTATTAACTACTTATCAGCAAGATTCTTCAGCATAAAGCAGAGAAACTGAATTATGAGAAAACATTGCTGTTGCTTTTTCATTTCCTTATCAGTCTCCAGTTAGCATGTGGGAACCAAATGCTACAAGAATGGGTAGATTTTGAAATATCTATAGCCTTTTGCAGTTGTAACAAACAGAAGAAAACTTGACTTGGAAAAAAAAAAAAAAAAAAGATAGGAAAGGAACCAGTTTCCTGAATTTAACAGCAAAAATATGAAATACTTTGATGGGGGAGATACAGTAGTCACCATCTGTCTGTCAGCTGATGTGGACCATATGGTTCATGTAGGCAAAGACAATCTGTAAAAGGATTTCAAGGTACCCAGGAATGGGTATTGCAGTGTCTTGTGTGAGGCTGCCTGTGAGGAGTCTTAGCAGAATCCCTGTGTCATATACTGTTAGAAGAGTTGCATCTTAGAGACTTATTTTAATTAAGATCGCTTGTAAAAAATATTTCAATATCTGCTGGTTGATAAACAGTTCTCTTTGTGAGAGACCCCGTATTCAAGCAAATACATTAAATCTTTCATACTTAAGGTTTCCTCTTATGCAGTATGTAAGGATCTATTGTAGTTGTCTGACAGTTGCATTTACAGTGCAGTTAACTAATTGGAGGTCATTGTGGACTCTTGGCACTGTCAGTTCAGACTTGGTCACAGGAAGCTGTCGTTGACATCCTCAGCCTGTTTGAGTACTGCTGTTTGTACAATCTAGTGCATGAAATGACATTCAAAGTCCTGCAGTTCTTCTGAGCCTCTGCTGATGGGAGCTGCTAAGAGCCCTAATGCAGATGTGCAACGTGGTAACTTGGGCAAGCGTGGGAAAGACAAGTGTGCTGTGTGTGCAGGAGGACAGAGAGGGCCTGCAGCAACTTTTATTCTCATTTCTTGATTCCAGAATGGAATAACATAACACAAGTGCCTTCGACTCTCACTGTGCTTAATTTCCGAATAGCGAGAGGTGGCACAAAGTACTTAATGATCTCTTGCAAAGTACAGTGCTGGTTGGAAACATTCCTAAATGCTGGACTGGCAAGACTGCTGGAGCTGCAACCTGTGAGGTGCAATGAACCTGCTCAGCACAGCTTCTCTGCAGAGGCTTTGTTGTAGGAGAAGCACATTACAAGTCACTGGGAAGGAACCCAGCCAAATCTGTGCCAGCTATCCCAGCGCTGCAGAGGCTGCAGATAGTCAGAGACTGAAAAGCCTGTGGGCAGGAAAGGATCAGCTGGGTGAACAGAGAAGTTAAAAGGAGAATGCACTGAAGGCGTGTCTGCACAGACTGCATGTGGAGGCAACTAGCACTTCTCTCCCAGGATCAGGGCAGCACTGCTAGAAAGCTATTTTTAAACATGAAAAATCCCAGCAAGGTGTCAGAGAAACCATCCAACTGAGGTAAAAGCAGGCCTTGGGCTCTTCATCTGCCCTTATTTGGCTGTCCCAGAATCCAGTGCAAAACAGAGCCATGGATGACCTTGTGATGTAGAAGCTTTCTGCGTATGTGTGCTTCCTGCTCTTAGCTCAGCTCTCAGAAACACTTGCATGATGTGTGCAGTGAGAAGAGGGAATCCGTGGTGAAGGTCATGGCTGCGATGGTGGTAAGGGTTGCTCACAGACTGACTGGAGGTGGTCCTCCATCCTGGACAAGCAGAATTAGCTTCTTTTTCCTTTAGTATAGTTAAGTTCTCAGCAGGGTTTTTCTCCCAGATTCACCAAGATTTGAGATTCTGATGGCAGCAGTGCTGAGAGTGGAAAGCACCTTTGTGAGAAACCGAAGTCCTCATCTGAGATGAAGACAGCTTTTTTCAGACAACGTGAGCCAGAAGTTGTTGAGGGGGAGAGAAGATCGGTGGGAAGGAAGATGAAAGCAGTTCTTTCCTGACTGGTAAATGTAGAGGGCAGTATAATGGGTTGTTCTTGGTCAGCTGGAGCAGACCTTGTATGATGTTCGTTTTCAGTAGTAGAATATTTTCAAAGTCTAAGGAGTGAGGCTACGCTTCAACAAATCTTTTCAAGATAAGACCCTGGCACAAAGCCTCGCTGCCCATTCCTTTCAGCTGTCCACCAGCCATTGTCATTTTCTTCAATGACAGCTACGATGTCTCCTTCATTGATGTCCAGTTCATCCATGTTCTGCAGGGGGACAGGGAAAGGAAATGTGGTTAACCTGAGCATGCAGGGAGGGATCCACATATCTTGTGGGTTGGTTTTTTTTTTTGTTTTTTGTTTTAACCCTGTCTCTCATCAAGAGTCTGTTAGTGTCCTCCTGATTGGGAATGAGCCTGAAATACCAAACAGTGGAGGATTAAGCACCTACTGAGCTGCCTATTTCCTTAAGAGCCTCAGAACGTTCCCCAGCCTCCCTGTTTTCTCCTCCTGAACAACCTGTTTTATCATAGGGGAAGGATGGAAAGGGGTAAATGTGATTGTCCCAAACCAGCCAGCCATGAACCTTCCTTACTCTACAGCTGTTGCTCAATTGAACAGTGCAAGGCTTAATTCCTGGCAGAGATAAAAACAGTATCTCTACAAATCCAGGCCATAAATAGGACTCTTGGTTCTCTTAATAACAAACAGTGGTGACCAGTGGAGGAACTTTTAAGCCCACAAATTAAACTGTGACAGTCCTTTTAGGGGAGGCTCAGTGTAGTCGATGTGAAGAAGAAAATATTTTTAACCTGTCTTGAGGAAGAATATAGTGGAAAGAATCTAAAGGTTCATTTTATGGTTGAACAACTATTGCTGGATTTGGATGAAATTATAACAATCATGAGGTGGAAAGCAAGGGCAGATGTCCTACGTGCTGTATGTTTTATTTACACCACTCTTTGAAACCTGTGGGTGCTGTGAAATTAAATATTCATTAGATGCATCAAGGGCCTGAGCCACCGTGTCTTGGTCCTTTTCTTTCTCTTTTTGGTGTTTTAGAAGGTAATCTGTATGATAGGAATAATGATCTCTCTCTTTCAAACATGCTGAAATCTACATGTGAGGAGTCTGTGCTTTTAATACTTAGCACAGTGGTTTGCCCATTGATCTTACTAATGGTATTATGCTGAGAGAGGTCTGAAGCCAGTGAGAGTTTAATATCCAGGTTAAGGATGCAGGTCATGGTTTATAACACTCTTTTGGTACACAGGCCAAGTCAGCTGTGATTCTGCGATTTGCAGCACTGAAGTACAGGGATGCACTGTCATTTGTGGGGATTCAGTCCTCCTCAGCATGGCAGAGACCTCAGTTAAAACCAGTGTGTTAACCTGGAGCAGGACTCTCCAGGTGATATGCGAGATCACGTGGAGAAGAGTTCTTAGTCAAGCACCCATCATGTAGTCTGATATCTGCTATAAAGCTGCAGTGGAGTTTATAAGAGAGATCTCTACCTATTTTTTTTTTTTTCCAGGGAGGACATTTAAAAAATATATATAAGTTCAGAATGCTCAGTATTGCACGTTTGGCCATCATCGCCAAAATAAAGTTTTCTATGTGTCCTTAGGAGGTTGCAACAGCTCAGCACCAATTTAGGCGAGCGTAATTACTTGCAAAGAATGTAATTGTTTCATCCTGGGCAGAGCACGGTCCAGTGATCTGTGCCAACAACTGGCTAGTAAGTCTCTAGGTGTCCTCCTCTGGAAAAGGAAGGGAAGCTAACAGCTCCTTCACACAATTAATGCTTTCGAGATGTTTAGATCAACAGTTTTAAATCTGACACCGTATGCAATATTTAGTTTGAAGCCTTTGTTTACCTGGGCTGTGTAGTCATAAAGTACTCTGTAGTCCTGTGATGATGTAGTTCTTTCATGTTCATTTACAAAAATGGCTGCATAGACCCCATCTGTTTTCTCTGCTTGTGGAGAGGGGGGGAAGGAAAAACAGAAACAAAGGGTTCAGTTGCTTATAAATGCATGGAATCATATGCAAGAGTTCACAAATACAAGGGTCTCTGTTCTCTCTCTGTCTGGAGGTGTACGTGTATAGAAAAGCTGCTGTGAACTGTAGGTAAATTCTTGCACAAAAACTATGTGCCATTGATTGGGTGACAGTGCAGCCATTGAACCTTCTGGGAGGTCAGAAGCATTAGCTTCATCCAGGTTGGGAAAAATGTTTACCCTGCTAAAGCACGATCACAGTAGTGCAAAGAAGGAAGTACTGTGAGTAAATTGGTTTAAAATGTTTGCTACTGGAGATGTGAAATTCTGGCAGTTCAGTAATTCACACAGGGCTTTTCTTTTTCCTTTGAGAAAAGTGGAAAATACCGTGCTGGTGTGATGGGTCATCAGACATTTTCCATTAGTTCATGTAGTTTCCATTTAGCTATTTGTCACAGACAGGACTATTCCGAAAGAGATTTTAAACTAGCTTGTCATAATTAAGGAAAACTCCTGTTATTCAGGAAGAGGCAGAGCTAGCCTTATTGAAAAGAACCACCTGGGTCTCTTCTGCTGTTTTAGAGCTCATGATGTAACCACAGTGGTAAAATGGAAGAACCAAAGCCTCGCTGCTGTGGATGCTGTTGTGATGACACAGTAGTCCAGGGCTGCTCTTGTGTACTTCCCAAGCACACCTTTGCTTTCAGAAGGGCTGTGTGGGGAAGAGAAGGGCAGTCATGGTGTGAGCAGTCCAAACCTTCAGGGCTGGCTAAAGATGAAGGGGAGGGCAGGCTCTAATTGCATGCTCGTAACCTGGTAGGTCAGCCCAGGTGAAAACACTGCCTTAGGAGGTTTCCAAAATGTGATGACTATGGTGTGCTAAATGAGCAGCAAGGTCTACTTGGGCTCCACACAATGTCTGAATGAGAGATGGGCAGCCAGCAGAGCTTTTTCTGCAGTTAGAGGGAGATTATCATACCAGGCTTGAGCATAAGGTGCCACCACAGATGCTGTTTACTTGGATAAAGTCGAGATCTGCTGTTAAATCCAGCATTTGATGTAAGATTGTTGTTTATTTCGGGTAAATTTTTCCATATGTAGTTGTTATACAGCTCTGCAAGAGACTAAATGCCTTCAGGCTGTGTATGTACGTGGATGCTGCTGCACGCTGAGTTGGACGGCTGGGGCCTGGCAGGTCCAGCTGGTGCCTGATAGCTCCAGAGAGGCTCTGAGCACCAAATGCAGCAAGTGGGGTAGTTGCAGCCTCATTACTGGATGCCCAACCAGGCAAGGCAGGCCCCACAAAGGAAATTGGCCTGAGTATGTTTAAAAGCTGTTTTAAAGGAACTTTTTGATTTCCTGTAGGCAGCAATCTCGGTTCAGATGTTTCTGGTTTAAATCAATAAAAAAGCTGTAAGCTGCTGCTTTCTGCATGGTCAAAATACTGTTTTAAACGTCCTACTGATAAATGCCTGACTGCAAAGGTTGTGATAAGGCAGTCCAAGTGTGAAATGAGATGAATATTTGTATTCATAAGGCATGAGGCAGATGTGTTAAAGACTTTAGGGATTCCCTTATGCTTTTTAAAGGTAGCATATCCAAAGTTAGGAGAATACTATTATCTGTAGCAAAACTGCATAGGTCTGAAAGCACAGTATACCTTTGCTCAGATAGAGGTCTTGAAGTTCTTATGACCCTAAGGTTATATGGATTATTTAGTACTTCAAACTGGGAAATTTGAGCTGAATTTGTTTTCAGTCTGCTCGTACTCTTGCCTGACATCATGTGAACATGTGCTGTAGAAGTTCTGCTCTGTGTTAAAGCTAGATTTAGCAACTGATGTTATACACATCTGGTAAATTTACTTCTGGTGAGGCATACCGAGAGGAGGGGCTGAAGGAATGACTCTTTCAGCATTGTTTTTGCTGCTTCCATGCAACAGTCCAGAGAATCTGCAGAACCAAGAGAAGTCAATGACAGAATGAGTGAACAGGACACTTCTTACAAGTCTCAGCTGTCAGATTCAACCTTCCCCCTCCGTGTGCTGCAGTGCTGCATGGATATCATCTCTTCCTGTGGCCATCTACTTTCCTTTGTCTATAGATATTTTTATCTTCAGTTAAAATAAATTCTAAACAAAACCTCAGAAAATTTCTGAACCAGATGAGCTGTCAGCCATCACTGAATTGTGCACTAAATGCATCATATAGTATTTTGTTGTGGATCCAAAGACTCATGAAACAAAATTCCAATTATCTCATATTATCAATATGATGAGAATTGTCAGTTGTTTACAAGAGAACACCATTCCTTTAAGGAAAACTAATGCAATTCAAAATACAAAGCTTTTATAACATACCTTACTAGAAATTGTGAATTTAAGTGAAAATCTTTTGTTTCCTTTAATTTTTTTTTTTTAAATCTCACCCAGTTGTTTTCAGTATCACAGCTGGATACTGGCTGGGAACTGGTGACCAGGCCAAGTGAGAATATGGTTTAGGATATAGGTATGGGTAGCAATAGTACGGAGTGCTTAAACATATCTAGAGGGTTTGATTTTTTTCAGCTGGTGAATGGCCAGTGTTTCAGGAAAACTGATATCTAAGCTCAACAATTTCTGAAAAACTGAGGCTGAGCCTCTCAAGGCTGTTTGCTCCTGCAGAGCACAGTTGTATTCTAAATGGCCATACAATTGTCTTCTGTAATTGCAGAGGCTGCAATGTTACAATTCATTATTATATAAAATCTTGTTTCCAACCAAAAACCAAATATTGTGTGAGCCTTATCAGCTCGCTGACAACCCTGGGCCACATTTTAAATGAAAGATCCCATCCCACTCTTTGTCTTTGCCATATAATAAGGCTTATCAAAATATGAAGCTCTCCTGCTTTTAAATATGATGCCATTCCTGCCATGAATTAGCCATTTTGGTATAAAATATTTAAACCAATAGCTCTACCATGCTATTCCACTGATATAAATGCATTCGTGTTACTATATTTACCACCTTAAATGGATTAGAAAAACACCTCCCTTATCATCACAGCTATTCCACTAAGCATTTTTTCCTTTGCTCTAGATAGAGACAGCAGCTCTTTGTTCTGCTCAGCTGGGCGTTGCAATGCACTAAGCCAGAGGTATTGCTGAAAAGGACAGCTTTCCCCAGCCTTGGCTCCCAGCAAGGCTCACCTTTGCCCTCCCTTGCACAGAGTGCTTTTGATGCTGTGCGCCATGACTCGCTAGGAAAGAGGAAACAAGTGTGAATGCTCTCCATTGCCAGCTGACTAATTGTTTTATGAACTTGTCCTCTTGTCTCTCTTCCCACTAGGCCAAGGCAAAATGGCTCTGACTCCAGCTTTAACAGGTTTACTTCTCTCGCGTTATTTTTATTTATATGCAGCTGTCTCTTGCTACAGTGAAGAACTTTCCAAGTCCCATTTACTGTCACGGAAGGATAGAATCACAGAATGGCTTAGGTTGGAAGGAATCTTAAAGATAATCTAGTTCCAACCCCCATGCCATCGTCATACACTGAGAAATACTACTTCTGGGAACGAACATTTAGCACTCACCTCTTCATCATCCCACAAGTCTGGGTCGGGCTGTTGCTTCTGTTTGGTTCTCTGTCATAGTAGTTCTCATATCCTATTGCACCTGCAAGATGGCAAGAAAAGAAAAAAATATTCAATCAGACAAAACCTATTTCTCTCAACCAGAGCACAGCCAACAGTATAGCAGTTCAGGAGCTGCTGGAGGAAGCAGCAAGGTAACATCCATTTGCACTTGCCAGTTACATGTTTGGAGCAGCTCAGGGGGATGTAGGTGCTTGACAAAAGCCATTCAAGTGATTGCATGCAGATGCATTCCTGGTAGAAAGGCATTCTTGACCTGGCACAAGCACAGTCAAGGTCCTGAGGAACCATAGCAACAACAGTGAGTAGCTCTAATTCAGAATGCAGTCTAGCACATGACTGTTTCCCCTGTTTTCTTGAAGCCCAGACTTTAAGGGGAGCAGAGCATGGTCACTGTGAGCCCATGACCATGTTCCTGATGCAGTTGGCAGCAGTGTTTTTTGGGTTTTTTTTTCCATAACACATTGAGTTGAGAATTTCTGTCGGAGCTGGGGAAATTTCTGAATGTCTCTGGGAGCAGCAATAGCAGGAAATTTCCTGGCCTGTGCTTGTGCATGGCTTCGTATCTTTTGTATCTTCACCTCCACCTCCTGAGAGCTGATTTGCTTTTTACTGCTGCTTACTACAGCAATAGATAGTTTTTCTTCTCTTGAACACAGTTATGTTACAGTCCCTTCATTCTCCCCTCTGGTGTGGTTGAGGGTGAAATTGAGCTTATTTACAAATCTAGCTTTACAGATGAAATAGTTACAGAGGGGTTTATTTTTCATCTTGTAGCTGCCAGTGCAGTTGCTCAGAGCTGGTGGTCAGGTACCCTTTCTGCCTTCTCAGTGTGAAAACCAAACAAATATGAGCCAAATCTGATTTGGAGGCCCTGATAGCCTATTATCTCAGTTCTGATACCAGGTAATTAAGACTAAAGATTGTGTTGAGGTTTTCACACTGGATTAGCCAAGACCATAAACAGAGCAGGCACGCACAATAGTGAGTACAAAGAACTCCTACAACAGAAACTCACAGCTTTAAAGGATTTTTATTTTCTACCATTTTAAGAGTCTGCGTTTCTTACCCTTCCAGATTTTCTCCTGCTGTAGTTTCTAGCCTGTAATTCATGTCATGACTAGGTAGAAGAGAAGAGAGCAACAGCATCAAGAAACCGAAAGGTTAGGTCAGGATGAAGATCTACCTCTACACAATGCAAAACCACACGTGGATTTTTCCCCCTGCACTTTGCAAATAATAAATGAGATGAACAGCTCACTGTGTGCTACTGTGCAAACTCATTAGCAAGAGCTGGAGAGGTAGTAGGGTGTTACTTCCAGAACATGTCACCTTCTAGAAGGTGGCAAAAAAAAAAAAACCCAACAACAACAAAAAGAAGCCAAAAGAAGAGTCAGTTGTTTCTTTGTGTTTCATAAAGCTCTCAAGAGTTTCTCCCACCTATTTCTTATTAGAAATGAGTCCTGACATAGCCAAGAACTGTTTGCAGAAAATGACCTAGGTGACTGCAGAATGAGAAATCTCCTGTGAAGAGGGGAGAGACGGAGTGAGCCTAGCTGAGAATTACAGTTCTCATATACAGAAGTTTCACACCATTGCAAGGTGCATTTTCACTGACAGAAAGGAGAACTGTAGCTTTTCCTAGGTCAGTGCTCCTGTAGCACTCAAATTTCAATCCCCTATGAGAAGAGGAATAAACTGTAGCAGCAAAATGGCATCCAAGCACAAGCATCAATGTATTAGTTTAAAAAAAAAATAATAATTCTCTAAGTCCTGATCCTTAATTGTCATGGGTGTAATGAGAGAAGGCTAAGCAGTAAACAACCTTAGGTAGCTCAGTGCTGGATTACTAACAGCATCCTACCAGGTTGCTACTGCTGCAAGATCTGGGCTCTAAGCTGCTCCTGTCAAAATTACCCCATGGGACAGGACTTGTACTACTGATGTTTGCACCTGTAAGATCCCTAGCACAGAAGGCTTTTGTCAGTGTGCAATTTTCTTATATTGGTGTAGCTGAATGGAAGTAAGCTCTCTTGTGACTCCTGAGTCAACAGAGGGGGTTCCTCTTTGGCATCTCAGTATAGCATTACAGCAGGTTGCGTAAGTAAGTCTGTGTACACAGATCAGAAAAATAAAGAAATGGAGGAAGAGATCTTTTCAGAATAGAGATCTCTCGTCAGCTGATGATGAGATGAAACGGGGAATTTTCTGTCCTTCTACAAAGGCTATGAATCTTTGTTTGCTGCAGGCAATGCAGGCATTCATTCAGTCTGTAAATATCCGATACTGCTTGTTGAAGTAAGAAGGTGTGGTTTGTATTTGGTCATACAGAATGTTAAGTGACCTAATTTCTGATGATGTGTTTGGAGAACTCCTATCCTGGAGCAGCAGGTTTTCAATCTACTACTGCTGTCAGTGCTTCCTGTCCTATTCTCCATTTCAGCTCAGAGATTTTGATGATAAAGTTGATGAAGAGGCTTTTTTTGGGTTGAGTGGACAGTCTGTGACCCTTACATCCCTACTGCATACTAGGACAAACCCGATTTCATTCAATATTTTCCCCAGTTGGGATTGTGCCCTTATACAAACAACTTGCTAAGAGGAGAAAGTGTTGTTCCCACAGTGGGTGGGAATGGGTACTGGGAGCAGAGAATCCTTCCTTTGGCTTTCCCCAGTGCAGTGGGTTGCCCAACCACAGGCTAATGGCTGACTCATCAGCTGAGACCAAAAGGAATAATTACCTGGAGGTTGTGTTCCTGTCATTTTACTCTTAATGAAGTAGTCTATGTCTGACTCTACGACGCAGTTCTCCAAGCTTACCCGAACCTCTTCATACAGCTGCAAAACAGAATTCAAGAATTTAATGTTTAAGGTTTCATGTTGAATTAGCTTTTAATGGTCTTCTAATGCTTTTTCTCTTTAAAAACACTGCAATTGGTACATGTCTGACCTAGTTCTTTGGTCTGTCCCCCATGCAGACATTCTTGTAAACACATCTGTTTTTTGTGTTCTGGGTATCTTTTCATGAGGGGAGAAAGGATACAGTCCAGGGCTTTTCCATGCAACTAATTTATATAGCAAGAACCAGCCAGTGAAAGTTAAAACTCAGACATACTTGAATGAGAAATGCGACCCACGTTTTTGTTTTGTTTTGTTTTGTTTTGTTTTTAGGATGTGATCCACAAACCTTCAAATAGGTGGAAAATTTGAAGGAAAAAGCAAAATGCCATCATGGGGTGGTGTATGTTTTATGTCTTCCTGCTCTGAGACCATAACTGCCTGCCTTTCTGAAGGGCGTGCCTAAGCACTCATACTCAGCTGAGCAACCTGCTATTTGGTTTTGGTATTTGTTGGTATATCCAACAAAAGAAGGCAGAGAAGGCCAGGCTCGTGCTGTGCTTCCAAAGGACTCCTGCAGTTTGTCCTTTGCACGTGAAGCTCCCTGATTTTGGCCCCTACCTCGTCATCCTTCACACACTGCATAGAGAGCTGGTTGCAGTGAACCCACAGCGAGTTCCGGAGGATGGTGATGCGGTCACACTCCTGGAGCTGGAAAACCTGAAGCCAAAGAGAAGTGAAGTAGTGTTATGTTAGTTGTATTGCAGGCAGTGACAGTTCTTAAATTGCAAGCCATCCTGAACGAGCCTATACAGGGGACAGCTCTTCAGCTACTGGAGAAACTCTACCTACTTGCTTGTGCCCAAGAGTTTTTTAAAGTTTTTGCTAAGAATTAATTATGTTTTGGAGATGGGAGGAAGGCAGAGAAAAGGAATCAGTATCTGGGTTTGAATGCTGCCTGCTGCCAATGAGTTCAGAGTGAAGGTCCTGCCTGCCCATTGCACTGAAATCTTCAAGTACAGCAGATTGCTGTCATGAGGGGTTGTATTTGTGCTAAAAGTAAAGCCAGAAATATCCATCTCTGCCTTCTAAAATGTCTTTCTGGACTTCCTCTTTGGAACTATTTGAGGTTCTCTGAGGTTGCATTTGCTCATTTCTAAGGTTATTTTCAGGGTAAAATAAGGTGGTTTTTGTTTTTTTTTTTCTCTCTACTCTATCCCTCATCTGTCTAATTTATTAATGTCGTACAGCTCACTGGATTTGTGGAGAGTGAAAGGGATAAATATGCACTGAGATGGGGGAAGAAGCAGATAAACTTTCTCTGCAAGCTTTAGAAATTGGGTTTTGTTGTTTTAAGTTCCAGTGTTAGAAGCAGAACATCAGTTTTTGGTTTTCTATGAGGTGTGAAAAGCTCAGATGCTTCCAGCCATCTGTTTCCATCTCCATTTGCTAGTAATTATGTCCAGAACACCACAAATGTATACAGTATTCAGCAGAATACTTGGTTGTGCTGCCTGCCATTGAATATCTTACTTAAAGATAAAAAGAGTCAATTGAGGGAGAGCCAGCTGGTGTTGGGACCAGTTTCTGAGAGAAACAGCTTATTAAGAGAACCTGTAGGGTAGGGAAATTAGTAGTTTGCTGCCCATGCAGAATAAAAAACCTACAGACAGAGCCTACCCCCAGGGGCTGTTCAACTGGAAATCTACCAGGTAAATGATGCCCTTGCAGGAAATGCAGCTCATCAAAGAAAGAAACAGAGTGACTTGGGGTTTGTCGAACCCTTTGCTTATTGCAGCTGTGTGCTGTGTTAGGCACGTCCCTCCTGCTATCAGCTTGTGCGACAGGCCTGCTTGTGAACCTGGGCTGCTGGTGCCAAGGAGCACGGCCCAGCCTCACAAAGAAGCTTGTCCCAGTGCTTGCACTTGCTAGCCAGGATTTTCAGGCTGTGGATGTCCCATGTTTAGCCACAGACCTTAGCGCTTCTAGCTTTTGTGCTCGTGCAGCCAGAAGTTTGGCATCTTAAGCCGATTTTTTTTCTATTTAAAAGGTCTCATTCTACCTACAAGCACTTCTTAAAGGAGTTAGAAGTGCTTCGTGAGTGAAGTCCTTCCTGAGCGGCTGCTGGAGCTACGCAGCGTGCAGGCCGCGGCGCTGTGGGCTGTAATGAATTGAGCCACGTGGGAGAAAGTCTTCCAGGTTGTGGAAAGTTTTGCTTGTTTACTGGCTTTATAAGAAGGGGAAATTGTGCATCTTGGGAAAATTAAGGCTTGGCAAAGTTTCCATAGGAAGTTTGCAGTGGAGGCCATGGGACTTTCCCAGTGTTTCCAGATAGGGAATATTTAAGAGGAAACGGAGAACCAGAAAGCTATTTTATGTAGGAGTAAAACCAGAAAGAAGTAAACATAGCAAAACTTTACTTCAGCAGCTGGACAATGTATCTGAAGGATCATTATAACCAAGTGTCTGATCTGGATGTCAACCAGTTCCTGTGAGCTGGCATGCAAACCTTAGAAACCAAGTGCAAATCTCCTTGTCCATAACAGAAACAAAGCTCCCCCAGCCACTGTCCTTCAGTGGAAGAGATTAGTCCTTGGCAGGGAGCAAACGTTCTTGCAGGTGAATGTACCATGCTACGTGAAATGTACAGGCTACCCAGATCCTTGTTTGCTCTACAGTGATGCTACAATACAGTACAATATGTACTTTTTTGCTCAGTGTGAAAATCTTATTTTTAATCTTCTTTGAACTTGTGGTATTTAACAAACAAAGATCGAACAAGCAAAAGCTGTCCTGCATCAGAGCAAGAAACCATTCTAAAAACTTCTTGCAAGACATAATTTGGAGGGAATGTTTGTTTTCAATGGACTGATTAGGTCGTCTTGTTTCCATTCTGAAATTCATCTTTTAAAAGTGAATTTTCAAATGTTCCTGTTAATCTTCTACTGAAACTACATTCTGACAAAAAGCAGTTGAGAAACAATCTTGGCTACGATAGAGGATCGCCGTTAGAGTTAGCATTTTAAGTTGCATCGTAGGTGAAAACTGGCAAGAAGTGCAACTAGATTGTACCAGTTCATATATTGCTCCATGTCTCACTCCTCTGCACTTATTCCCTTCCTGTATATTTACTTACACATGCTGAACAAACAAGAAACGTGGAAGTGAGGCAGCTAGTAACTATGTCTGAATCTGCTCTAGATTCTGTAGTGTTCTTGCAAAGACTCAGTGTAAAGCAAACAGCAAAACCCTTGCGATAATATTTGAGGACCTAGATGGATATCTGTAAGTAGGATAAAACGAAGAGCACACAAATATATTGCTGTAAAAGTCAATGTTTACCTCACAGGTTTTAATATGTTCCTGTTCCCACTCTGTCCTGGCCTTATCCAGCTGTTCAATGTTCTGTTTGTACACATTCTCTGTAAATACAGACACACACACAATAGAAACCCAACAGTTAGGCAAGAAAAATGATAGTCTTCCTCTTTCTCCTCCCATTAGGATTTTCCCACTCTGTCAAACCCCAGGCCTGAAATAAGTCATGAGAATGTGTGAGCTTGAAACTGATAGTCAGCAAGTGTGTGTGTGTGTGTGTGTATACATATATGTGGGGATTATGTAAATAAGAGATCACAAGTGCAGGCCATGCCCATCCTTTGACTCAGCCAGTCAGGTAAGCCATGCAGTGTAGTAAACTTCAGTATGAACAGTGAGTGCCAAGCCTGAGCTCATGAACCAGCCCAGAGTTTTGCCAGCATTGTCCCTTTGGAGAAAACACATATGGTGTGTTTCTGGCTGAAGGATGTAGCGATGCTGCTGTGCTCGTGCACAGGGAACCCAGGGACTGTGTGTCTGGTTTAGGTTGGGTTGGAACAATGAGTGTCACTGTGCTTTCAAACTTGCTTCGAGAAGAGCTTTTTTTTCCTGAGTGAAGTCCTTAAAGATGGTCTGCTGTAAAATCTTTAGTGACAGCACGAGACTTGCAGGTCTACAAGTGAAAATAATGATGGACAGGCTTGCTTTTCTCTTCACTATAGTGTCTGTAGGTAGATAACTTCAGGAAACCCGATTTCAAATAGGGCTAACCCTCTTGATTTGATTGATGCTATCAAAATTAGCGTGCTGGTAGACCTTTGCTGAGAAAAAAATCAGTTCTGTTGCAAATCACCTGCTTCATGCGCTGCATCTCTGCATTGCTTGGCTTTGTTCTGACTCTGAAACAGGAAAAGAAAGAAACACTTCAAATTAATTTCTACCCGTATGTTTTACTCCTGGCACGTTGTTCTGCTGCCTTCCTCCCTTTCCCCTTATAGGGTTAAGGCTCCAAACACAAACATTTTTTGGCTGTTCCACCTTTATAATCATAGAATCATTCATGTTGGAAAAGGCCTTTAATTTCATCGAGTCCAACCATCTGCTCTGTTGAGCATGTGCTATGGGGAAGGAAGGAGCAGCATTTCACAGGTGTAGACATAAGTCCACTGACTGCAGGGGAAATCTGGCAGCTTATATCATCCTACCCGGGGATTCTTGCTGTAGGAGCACAGTGTTAACATGCTCCAGCCTGAACTTTGTGTCTGCTGTCCAGGTTATTTTCTAGAGGGTCCAAAGTGCTTTTGCAATAAATATCTATAAGCAGAAATGTCAGTTAAAAATATTCATCTTCCAAGCTCCTCATGCAATGCATATATGACAGCCTTTATAATACTTTGCAAATGCCAGACTACTTCCCATAACAACTCAGAAGACTAAAAGCTAAATTCACTCTAAGCAGGGTTTTTTTTGTTTTTTTTTTTTAATCTGCAGCCTCTAAGAAATGAAAATAAGCACGTTATTGACAGCTCTGTACTCCCAGGTCTTTCTGCACAGATGGTGATGGCAGTACATTAATGCACAGCTCTAGAAATCAGTATCACACATTCTTCCCGTCTGCCCTTCAAAGCAATGCTCAGGTAGGGGTTCTTGTGACCATATTCCTCCTCACAGCTGGCTGGAAAATATGTAGTAAACTGGAAACATCAGCTTCATTCTTAGTTTCTTCCTGGCCCAAATTGTTTGCAAGTGCTGAGCAGAATTAAACAGCTGGCATTTCTTGTGAGATGCCTCTGTGCATTTCAATTGTGCTGGCATGTGTGGAAATAATGGCAAGAAAGTGCCCTGGGATTCCTCAGTGTGAAAGGAGCTGGGTCGGATTTTGATGCCACTGAAGTTACTAAGAGTTCTGGTGTGATTTCAGTAGGGCCAGGATTTCAACCCCCCCCCCTTTTTTGGCAAAGCTGGAAGGATTTAATTCATCAAAGATTAGGGAGCGAGAGAAATAAAATGTAAACTTCTGATGCAGTTTTTAGAGTCTCCTTCCCCCTGCTCCTCGAGATGATTTTTGATCCTTTTTGCTTACACTGCACTTATTTTATCGAGCCAAAGGGAGTTCATTTATTTTGTTTTCTCCATCTGTTCCACTGTAAAATGTTCCCATTAAAAGTTAGCGAATTGTCAGCTGCAAGTATCAGAAGATGCAATGAAGGACAGCAGTGCCTTAATTTCCAATGATTTATTTTTGAGTTTGTAAATTTAGATGAAATTAAACTAAGCATAAGGAGAAAAAATGTAGAGAAAAAGATGCATTTTAATGTAAGATACTATGCCTACTAATTGTAAGCAACCAAAAGGCGAAGCTAGCTGTGTGACATACATCTGACTTGCTTCTTTCTTATGAATGATTTTGGAGAAAAATCTCATTCAGATTGCTCTCAGGATTTATAAAGCAGTTAGGTCACAGCCTGGGATAAAGGAAACTAATGGGATAACTCAGTCCCTCCCTTGGCCCACCACAGGACAAGATCAGGGATGGCAAGTCCAACTGAGTGGTGAAGGAAGGCCTCCTTGGGAAGGTACTTCTTCCCGTTTTGATTCTAATGGGTTAATTAAAAGGGAAAGCAACCCCTGGCATCTTGTGGAATGTTGAACCTGGGAAAAGGAAGAACAGCTTTCTCTCTTTTAAGCATCTGCTGAATAGGTCTGTCTGTCTAAGGTACCTTTTCTGTTTGCTTCTGGTTGCCTGAAGCGCTCATCCGTTCGAAGGACTGCTCAGCCTCATCCGCCTCCTTGCACTTCTGTTCATAGCTCTTCTTTGACTGTATGCAATTGAAATGAAATCACATGTGAGGCTTTGGGTTAGGGAAGAAGGCTGGGCTGTCTCAAAGCTCCTAGAAGCTGGAATTACTCATCTGCAGTCTGGGGGAACAAATCAGCACTCAAGTTTTGGCCAAGGAGAGAATTCCCCGTGACACCAAGAAGAGATGCTTATTAAAAATAGCACTGAAATTTGTAGCAAAGAGGCGAGCAGTGTGAATCAGACCCCTTTCTTATAGCCCTGAATGTCTTTGCTCTGTGTAAGTGCTGCCAGCTCCCTGCCCATGTGGTCACTGCCAAGGGTGTACAGCACAGATGCAGCACAGGCACTGTTGGTGCATCCAGTGCAGAGAGACCAAGTTACAGCTAATGTGCCAGTGAGGACGGGTTGTCATTTCCACAGCCTGCCTTGAATTGCCAGGTGGCTGACCCAGCACTCCAAGCTGTGAGACAGAACCAAGCCCACATAGGCAGCAGTCTCAGTAGAGTTTTCAGAAGCAAAAGGTATCTTTATTTGCACCAGAAGAACTCCCTTCTTAGAGTTTCACTTAAAATGATGCTGCATGTAAACTCAAATAGTACAATTCCAGCTGTAGCACTGGCAGGTCTGCAACTGCTCTTCTTTAGAGGCAGTTGCCCATTGGAAACCAAGCCCAGCTGTTGCAGTTCCTGTACCTGCAAACCTCCCTGCTGGAAAGGTTTCCTTCTGCTTACAAGGCTCAATTTTTTAAAGTTATTTTCGTAGGCAGGAAAATAATGTTTTCTCCTATAATTATCCTTGTCTAGAAAGAATCAAATCCTATCTGAACTGTTTGGGTTGATGCTAATTCCACATTTAGCTTTCTGAGTGCTCTGGGAGACTTCAGTGGGTGATGCAGGGAAGATTAGCACCCTCCTGCCAGGAATCCCATCCTCACACTCCTGTGCCATTAGAACACACATATACACATTCCTGACCTTTCTTCATGTGGTACAGTCTCAAGCTGGAGTGAGTTTGCATTGAAGAATCTGCAGAAAACCTCCTTCTTACCTCCATTGCTTTCTTATACTGGGACAACTTGTTCTTTTGCATGCGCTCCATTGCAGACTCGTACTGTAAGAAACACATGGGAGTGTGAGCATTTCTCTGGACTTTTCCCCCTTGCCTGCTGGTAGGATCAGGAAAGGCATTGGCAGTGTCTCTCTACAAGCCACGTGCCTGTGCAAAAAATGACTTCACTCTGCTTTTGCAACTGACAGGCTTCTCAGTGACACAGAGCATCAGTGTATCAGGTTAAAAAAAAAAATAATCCAAGATAATTCTGCTTCAATGCTTTCCACTAATAGCAGAGAGGATGTAGGTCTTCATTTGCTCCCTCCCTCACCCTTCCTTTTTTTTTTTTTTTAACCTTAAGGAGATTAAATAGTAACACCTATCAGTGCCCATCAGCTCTGCTAGCAGAGCTCATTGCTGCTCCAAGAGCTCCATCTCCCATCTTTGCAGACCAAACCACAGCCTCACCCTTGTGACCAGGAGTAATTGTCCATTTTGAACTCAAACGGTTCCTGTGTAATTTATATATCGTTGCTTCTGGCAAATTTATGCTCTATGCAATTTGATTTCCACAACATAATCTGGTCAGCATTGGAAAGACGGTGCTGGATTTTCTTTTATAGCTTTAATTCTGTTATGCCCAGCCTTGTGTGACCGTGAGATATGCTCCTATTTGGCAGGGCATGGGTTTCTTCAGTGGGACTTCTGGTCCTTTGATCTTTACATTCTGCTCAAGCAAAACTCCCTCTGGGGTCACCCAGAAGCGTGACTGACATCAGGCTCATAGCACAGTCCTGATGGCAGCTGCAGCAGATCCAGCACAAGCACAGAACAGCGTTATGTGAGATCTCCAAAAATGCTGACACCTTCCAATATGTCTGAGGTTGACTTCCTCACAGCCACGTGCTGAAGGAGGAAACATCTTACAATGGGTCTCAAGACTCCAAACGAATTTTGACCATTTTTTTTCCAAGCCCTTATAACAGTTTCCATTTGAGTTCCAAGCTTATTGTTTTCAGCAGGAAAAAGCCTCTCTCTTTGCAGATCCTGGTGATGAGGTGGGGACAAGGGAGACAAACGCTGATCACAGAATCACAGAATGACCTGGGTTGGAGGGGACCTCAAGGATCATGTAGTTCCAACCCCCTGATGGCTGGGTGCACGCTGTCTTTGCTGTGCGCATCAAATCTCAGTAGCAGCACTGGTTTTACCCCCTCATATTCAGAGTGTGTGTCTGGGTTGTAGACATGAGAATGTTGCTGCATTGGACATTGCTCGTACACATTTACCTTTGCTTGAAATTGTCCAAGCTCAGGGTATTTGATTATACTGTTCCCTCAATCACTGTTTTCAGTGATGTCAGCTCTTTGTCTCCAAGCCCATGGATCCAGAAGTGTAAGAGTGACCACTTGTCTCCATTGAGAGCTTTTTTTTTTTTTCCTCTGGGGATTTGGAGCCAAATGAGACCACAGAGCATGACATAGCTTTGAATGTTCTCTGAATTTTACTGCACAGCATCAACTTGGTGCTGTTCTAAGTATCCGGCGTATGTGCTGCATTCTGCTTAACAATCATTTTTCTTCTGTGATTTCAGATGCTTATGTTATCTCTTTATTTTAGTGCATGTTAGAGATCATGCAGGATCATGCCAAAGCAATGCAATTAGCAAGGATATAAAAAAGAGTAAAGGATGGATTAAGTTCTTACATGAATAAGAATAGCATCAGCAGTTACAGCAGAGGTAGTAAAAGTGACTAAAGCCTCTGTCTCCGGAGTTCAGAGCATTACTTAATTTCTAGCTGGGATTAGAAAGAGGCTTTCTTCCACAGTCTAGTGTGTGGAGAGAGAAGGGCACACTGGGCACATTTCATTATCTTTTGCAGTATTCAGCCTACAGCTGAAGATAGGCCAACAGAATGGGCCGCTGATCCAATCTGTATCAAAGATTGGCTGGTTCCTCACCTTTTTCCTTTGCTCCTTCTGCCTTTCTCGGAACTCCTCTATTCCTTTCAGTTCATCCTTCAGCATTCCTGCCAGCTGGATATGAGAGTTTCCAACACTTTCAATTTCTAAAGCAGATCAGAATTCATGTGCCGTCAGTGGAAAGGACTTTAGAGGTAAAATCACATTTTTCAGGAGATATTTCTAAGATCTGGCTGCTGCGTACAGCTTGCTCCAAACAGAGCAGCCTTCAGCAAAGAAGTACATGTAGAAACATGAGGGGTTTGACATTGAAGAGGGTGCTCACAGCCTGAATAGGGCCTACTGAAGGTCCTTTCATTGCTCGCATGTGATGTGGGTGAGACCCCTTGCTGCAGAATTGGAGCACCTGCTCAGAGCAGCTTTAGCAAGTGTAGGATTTCCCTGCGTTTCTTCCTAACCCCATTTACTCCAGCCACAGGTGTTGTGGTGCTGGGGGAGGACCTCCATTGTCCCTCTGGTGTCTGCCTGCCCTCCCCTACATTCTCTGTGCTTATGGGAGCTGCTTGCCACTTGCCTCCAGCCTTGCACAAATGTCAGCAGGGGAGCTTGCAAGCTGAGAATTTCCAAGGGTCAGCTAAGCTGGATTGCATTTCAGACCATCTGACTGATGCTGTTTGAAGTGGCTGGCAGCTTCTCTGCATTTGTCAGCTTTGGTGGCTCTGAAATGGAGCCCTGCACTTTCCAAAACCGTTGAGCTTTCCCCTTCCAGGCTCTAAAAGTACCTTAATTCACCAGCTGCTTCTGAAAGAGTGCTTTTGTTATCTGAACAGCAGGCACCAATACCCAGATAACACTGTCCTATTGGCTATGACAGTGTGAAAGGTTTTAACTCTGCCCTGGGCGCCTTTAGGAAGCATCCTATGGATGCATGTGGATGTCAGTGTCTTGTGGAGGAGGGAGCAGAGCTGGTATTTTGCAGCTTGATCTGGGCAAAAATAACTTGAGGAGAAAGCTGTTTTCTGTGCCTCTGGGGGCTGGGTTCAGTGCCCAGACTTGGAGGAGGACGTGAGTGAGTGAGTGAGTGAATGTGCTTTCCCCCCACCCTCCACGCTCGATAGAGGAACAGACTGAGATGGAAAGGTTAACAATATAAGAGGGAGAGGATGGAAGAGCCCAGAGGGTGCCAACACAGTGTGTCTGCCTGAACCTGGGTCACAAAGCAAGATACAAATACTTACGTTGCTTGAGCTTCTCGAATGCTGCCTTCAGTGTGCTGGGAGATAAAAACAAGAGCGCTTCATTAGCAGAGGTTCTAAGGATGGGAATCTAGAGGCAAAACTTTCCCTCCCAGCCAAAAGATCCACAAAGACATAAAGCTCTTAACAGCCTTGCAATAAAAATTGACCATGCTAAGAGATGAAAAAACATCAACCTGTTACCATATGAAACGCAATAAAATGCTCCATGAAGCAAGGAATTGCAGAACTCCTTACGCTCGCCCTATGTTTTTAATCTGTATTTGTAACTGCAAACGTTCTGTTCACCCACCTTCCCAAGGATGCAAGTCAAGTGAGTGAAATAAAGGCAGTCAAGGGAAATTGGGCTTCGGAGCACTAAACTGCAGAGAAAGCAACCCCACCCTTCGTGGTAAGTGCAGCACGGTGAACGCTTCCTCCTTGCTCACCCTTGCAGCTGGAGCAGCAGCCTCCCTGCTGTGCTTTCCTAGCACCCCCGCGTGGTGCAGCTCGCTCGCCTTTAGGAAATGCAGCGCAGAGAGCCGAGGGAGCTGATGTTCCCAGCATGAATGTGCCATGCTGTAAAATCAGCCCTTGGCACTGGGCTGTGATGTACAGTCCGGAGAGGAGCAAACACTGATGTGATGCTGCTCACCCGGATGGAGGTGCACAGCTGAGGCAGCGTAGTGTTGCAGGAGGATGTGAAGGGGTGATTATAGTTCACTTGTTGTCCTGGCTTTTTGCAATCCAAAGTCATTTTTAAGGAGGCAGTGTGAAGATCAGCAGAGGGGCAATGGGAAAGGAAAGAGCACCGTTTGTGAGAGTCACTTTCAATGTAATGATCAGCTCCTGGCTGGAAGGGTGTCTGCATGCACAGAAGCCAATATTACGCTGTGATTTGGAGGTTTTTCAGACTCAGAAATCAATTCTTCAGGCCCCAGGCTCTATGGTTCCCTGAGGGAAAATGTTCTGCAGAGAGTTCTTGACTTCCTCAGATGGGCAAAAACTCTCCAAGATCTCCTTGGCTGAACCACAGCTATTAGGGGAGCCCAGAAGAGGACGCATGTGTCTTCTCAGCCATGTGCAGATGGACAGGGAAATCCTGCATCTCTTGGCCTGTTCCAGGAGACTTAGGAGACACATGGAGGATACGAATGGGTTAATTTAAGATGGACATCTTTTACCTAACCATAACCTGCAATACCACATGGTCAGGCATAAGTAAAGTGCTCAGGTGATGGGAAAGAGTGGATCTGTCCTCAGCAGTAACTGCCCTGCGATCCATTTCCAAATCTTTGCTTTCAACAAGTAAACATGAGTATTCATGTTGGGTCCCTGCAGCATCTTCTCAAGGACGTATGTATGGTAAAATCAATCTAGTTTGTGTCACTAGTTATCCCAATAATATTTAATCATTTTGAAGCTTCGCTCACTTTTCCTTCTGTACCCTGCTTTGCATAAAATGATTCTAGCGTGGAACTTGAAACAATTTTCTCAACAGAAAGGGGAAAAAAAAGGATTCATTCCAAATCCTTTTAATTAAAAGGTCTAGATCAAGTAACAAGTTGGATATCCGCAGCTGAATTAGCTTTTTTTCCCTACTTAAAACCTCCAATGGATTATTTTGAAAAATTAAACATACACATGAAATAAAATTAGCTTTAAGTGTGGACTTTCCAGTGGGAGGTGGAGAATGTGCTAGCAGCATCATCCCAGAAATGAGTAAATACTGAAATTGTAAGAACAGAGGGCACTTGCACACCACACATACTAATTTATGTGCTGTGTTCATCTGTTTTTCCCAGAGATCTTTTCATCAGCGTCGGTGATTCAGGTTGTACCAAGACTGACAGAGTTGCTGTAATGCATACTGAAAAACAACTCATCCTCAGTACATATCAAGGACAAAAGCAGTTTGTTGCTTTTCTGTCGTTGTTTCCAGGCATTACAGCTACCAGAGCAGTCAGTGATCTTAAGCTACACATGAAGCTTTTCTTATTTTTGCTGCCTCTCTGTAAGCATTAATCCGTCTTCTGGGACAATAATGCATCTGGCTATGAGCTGGAGAGATACCTGCCTCATGCACAGTATTTAATTGCTAATTCAGAAAGCTCTTGTCTCTCACTCATGGCCTGAGATGCAGCCAGTTCCCCAGCTGCTACTTATGGTAAGGCCACAATCTGCAGGTAGATTGGAATAAATTAAGCCATTTCCTTCCTTATTTTTATAATTCTTTTTCTGAAATCAGTCAATCAGATCCCTTATCCTTATGGGGCCTGAAGGGGTAGCAGATATGTCCCTGTGCCTAGTTAGGTGTGCAGGAAGGTAAGTAAATCACATCTTGACCCACAGAACCAGCAGGTACTCCTTTATGACTCCATTATGGGCTGCAGGGCTGTGCTGGCTGCAGCAGCAATTCCATAGGTGAGCTTTTGCTGCTAGGTGCTCTGATTGTATCAGTGAAATACATCATTTCAGTGCTTTGAAGGGTTTAGTGGCAGCACTTCATGTAGCAGAAACACACGAGAATTTTAATTTAGATGGCCCTCCTGTGTGTATAGTATCTATACACAGGGTATATATACTACTTATTACCCATCCCATCTGCGTTGGTGTGACTTTTGTATAAGATCAAGAAGGGCTTTATTCCAAAGCATTGAAAATGAAGGTGTGTCACTCTTAGGGATACTTGTACACAGTGTCTTGTCCTTTCAGGATGTGATGCTGCTTAGCACTGTGGCAGTCTGTTGTAGCATCTCTCTGACCAAACTGGAAAACCTAGGGGTTGAAAATAATTCGAGAAAAGCTGCAGTTTGCCTCTTCTCCTCTTTCTTTAATTTCTCACTTCTGGTGTTTCTTTGGCAATTCCAAGCACTTCAGCTTGACACAGACAACACAGCCTTTGCTTTGGGCATCCCTGCATGTAGGCTCCTGCAGGTGTCACAGTGAATTTACACGAATTCACCGTGCATGTTTGTTAAACATCCAAGGGGAAGCCTTAAAGATTGCATTTGTTAAACCGAGTTTCAGATACAGACAGGATTTCCCCTGAATCTGCTATGATAGGTAAAGACAGAGCCAGAGCAGCAGCCAGTCTGTAGCAACTCCTGGTGATTTTTGCCATCTAGCGGCTGAAACGTTCTTATTTTGCTGCAGGATCTCCTTACTCGACCGCAGAGGAATGGAGATGCTGTTGCGAAAGAGGCGCTTTTCGGTGCTTGTTTTTTCAAGTGGAAAGGGAGGAGGAGGCTGGCAGGGCTTTCAGAGGAGCTGGGGAGCCAAGGCAGGGTACAGAGAGTAGAAACTCATACAAGAACCTCTTTGTTTTACTATTCTTGCTCCGTAGATTTCAAAACACTTTCCAAAGTGGACTTCCCAAATGTACCTGGCAATCCGTGCTCTCTTGGACACTGCCCACAAGCATCTGTGGAATAGGATGCTGGGGCTGCAGGTAGTGTGCTGCAGATGGGGCTCTGCTGCCTTCTTCACAGCCATGGGAGGCTGAATCGATGGCACGAGAGACGCAGGTAGCTGAGCTGTGGTGACACTGCTCTGCACGCAGATATGTTCACTGCTTTTTTGTGCCACTGCAGGCTCGGTGGTTTGGGTGGGTTTTTTCTGTATTTTGCCTCCTCCCTCAAATGGAGACTGTTCTGAGTAATTCATAGAGTCCCTTTACGTTTTGACACAGGAAGGCTCTTCTAACCGGAAAACCACAGCTCTTTTTAAATTTCCTTTCTTTTTTTTTTTCTTTTTCTTTTTTAATCTCTGCTTGGTGAATAGAAATGGAAAATAACTCCGCCTTCCTTTAAAACAAGATCATTTTCTTTTCTGTAAGGTTTCATTTCTGTGCTGTTCTTAGGGTAACATTTTTAACATTCCTTCTGAAGCTGGGAGAAGCCTCTGCCAGATGAACTTCACAGAGCAGTTTCCAGCAGTCCTGTTCCAGCTCTGCCCCTGGTAGCTTAGCTTAGTTTCTGACAAAGTGTTTCTGAAGCCAACGTGCTGCCAGTCCCCACTGAGGCCACAGTTAACATCTCTACTTCCTCCCACCGCGTAGGGTAGACCCAGTGTGACATTATTGACACATCTTTTTGTGGTAGCAAGGTGTGGAGAAACAAATGCAGAAGCATCTGCTCTCCATTGCTTTGTACTCAGACTCTCTGCACTGGGTGTATATGCAGAGGGTGGCAGTTTGTTTTTAGGCAGGAAGACAAGTCCCTCCTGAGTCCTAGGTAGGCACGTAGCAGAGTACTGCACACAGGAACCCTATCTGACATCAGTTAGTGAGATGTGGTGCAAGCAAGGAACTCATTTTTGCCTAGGTGTTTACTTGTTCTCTGAGGAGTTACAAGCAGAAATGCAAAGCCACTCAGTGCAACTGGAAAGACTTGTGTGCAGGTCAGCTGGGTGTGATGGCTAAGCCACCTGTGGAGGGGGAAAGGTACAGGCAGCACTTTGCTCTGTCCCCTGCAGCCCAGGAGTCAGTCTGTCTGAGTTAGTTACAGCAAGGCACTGCTGTGAGTCCTGCCAGCCAGGACTGAGCTCTGTGTTGGCTTGGATGGAGCTTATCTTTTGTGAAAACAACACCAAACACTCTAGTGCTGCGGTGTCTGTGTGCATGTTTTGCATCTGCTACTTAATTGAGTACTTTCACATGTGTGTCAGAAATAGAAGCAGCCCCAAGCTGACTGGAAATGGGGTTGCATCATTCTCAGGGCTGGTTTCTGCACTAATCACACCAGGCTTTGCTGGGACAAGGGAGCAAACCAGAACACTTATGTCTCCAGGATTATCTATGGCATTCAAACCATTGGATTAAAAACATCAAAACAACTTAGGTACTTTAACACAGAACTAAATTTCCTCATCTCCTGGGAATAGAGCAGCATAGCTCAAAACCACTTGCCCTCGACACTGGTGAACTTATCTAGCCTGGGTTTAATAAGAACTGAGCAGAGATTTAGGTCTTTCATGCAGATGCTTGGATTTGTTTTTGCAGCATCCTGAAAGTTCAAAACACACGTGAGTGTGTAAACCCCGTGCAGCTTCAAAACATTCAATTGGAAAGTATCTAACAATAGAAGAGTGTGACCTTCCAAAATGATTTTTAGCTTCGGTTCAGAAATGCTTGCTTTGTGAGAACAGTACAGATGTTTCTGTGTATTACATGACAAACACCCTATATTTATACACAGGAAGCAGCAGCCTGGCATTTTGTTACAGATGCCCTCACCTTGTGTTCTCTGAAATTGCAGAGAAGGGCAGAACAGGAACAAGCTTGAAGGAACTGCCCTTTCCCAGGGTCTGAAAGAGATGTTAGTGGAAAAGAAGGAAAGAAAAGCAGAGGAAATCATATACATAAGAAGAGACAAGCAGGGCAAATGACAAATATAGCTGTTGTCAGACTGGGCAGAATTTAACCAGCTCCTGCGTGTTTACATCAGTTGCTTTACAGAGGAGACGAGTTCCCAGAGGCTCTGTTTCAGCTGAAGCAGAGGACGTGCCTGAAAACTGGGCTCTGTAGTATATTTTTTTTTCTCATATTTTTCTGCTGAAGAGTTGCCCAAAGCTGTTGCACAGAAATTCCCAGTCACCTTGCAGGATGTTTCCTCTCAAAGGCGTGAGCTCTGCTGAGAGTTATCTATTGAGTGTCAAAACACTGCAGATTTGGTCCCTGTTTATAATTTAGCTGAAAATCCCACTTTCTGTGCATCCTGTCCCATGTGTGCAGCACAGGATATGGAGACTACAGAAATATATGGCAGTTTAAGCACTGTAATGTGTAGGTCCCCCTCCCTCATTGGCTATGGGTGTAACCTGGCCTTTGCTGAGAAAGTAGGGCTGTAGCTTTGTAATCATCCTTTTCATAATTTTAATTTAATAATTAGAGACTATGAAATATTGATTCATATACGTGTGTGTGTCTCTGTATACAAGCTAAAAAAAAAGTGGGTTACCAGGGCTTTAAACTTAACAACAACTAGAAATGAAGACGTTTGAATGCCTGCTGTGAGGGTTGGACTCAATGACCTCTAGAGGTCCCTTCCAGCCCCTACAGTTCTGTGATTCTGTTGTTCTCTCCTTTAGCCCTGAGCTCCAACAGATGAGGCCTATTTCAGGGCAGCATCCATCACTCTGCTGTGGTCCCCACACCTTGCTCACTCCTCAGGGACTGCCCTGTCCCCTCCCAGGTCTGACCCACTCCAGTGTTACATCTGCACGGAGATCCCATGGCAATGCCTCCAGGTACTTGCTCTCCTCCAGGCCACTCACTCCCAAGTCACCCATATTCTCTGCATACAGCATGCATCTGCAGCTGTGCTGGGACACCCAGTGATTACCTGAAAGAAGCAGCCAGTTTTTTCCTTCCTTTGATGATGTTACGCTGCTCAGTGTGTTTGTAAGGCCCAAAAGGAGTGGGACTGCAGCATACCAGTACAGACATGCCTCAAGAAACCCCACTGACAAGATGCTAAACTGCCTCTGTTAGGAATGTCTCATCTAGCATGACAAATGCGGTAGGGCAGGTTAGAAAGGAACACTAAAAGAGGCCCTTAATGGGAAAAAGTGCATTGCTTTGCTATAAGACTCAGCAGCTGCTAACATGTTTTAGGGTTTTAAGAACAAGATACAAGAAAGCTCCACTGGGGGCTATTTCATGCAAAGCTGCTGCTGGTTTGGCAGCCTCTGACCCACCAGGCATTAAGATTATTTAGGAGAAATATTTTGTGGATCTAGTGTCGAAGACAAGATACTTGGCTGAACAGATTTTGATCTAAGCTTGTGAGACCCTTCTTGCATGTAGATTTAAACGTGTGCATCCTTCTGTATATTGAGGTGAACTTGCTAGGACTTTCTTTAAATGCTAAGTTAGATCCATTCTGCGTGTCAAAAGAGGATTTCTCCCTTTCCTATAGGAAGTAGCTTCTACCAGCTGCAGTGCTCGAGGCAACAGCAAGCAGGCAGAATGCCGACAATTGCTTGAATTAGGCTGTGCTACTGAGTGATGGTGTGCCTTGGCTGTTAGGCAGCCTTTCAGGGAACTTTCATTTCTTCTGCTGGAAGCTGCAGTGTTTGTTTGCCATGCCCATGGTAACCGGCATCAACTCATTTTAGAAGCACTTTATTTAAAAGAAAGGAGAGAAAAAATGGTTGTGGTGGCACATCTCCCTCTCTGACTTTGTTTTGATAGCAACCTCTCTGTAGCTGCAGGCTAATCTTTGCTATTTCCTATACTGATGTTAAAAGAGCAGCGAGGACCTGACAGAAAGAGAACTGCACCTCTGGCGAGCAGCTCTGTAAGCCTGTCCCCTGCTGGCTCCCAGCTCAGAGCAATGTCCCCATATTTTTGTCCCCATTTCGTGGCCATAACGTGGGTTTGCTGCAGAGGCTTTGCTCCACACAGGGACAGCTGCTCACCTCGGCTCTGTGCCACTTCTCTCCTGCCCTGCTTTCCCTGACCGTGCTGGAATGATGGGAGGGTTCTGGAGCCGATTCATTGGGTTGTTTATAATGTGCTAAACAGAATTAATTGGCCTTGCAGTTGTTTCTCTTAGGTCTTCTGTGTGTTTTCTGACACAGGAAGTTTATGGGTGGTTGCTGGGGATGGATGATCTTCCTTTTCTTTATCAGCCTTTTAGAAGGGTACCAGCACCTTCCTGATATTAAGAGCTACTGGAGTGTGAAATGATTTCCCAGGAGAAGTGACAGAATGCCTTAGCAACAGAGATATTTAAGAGATGACTGAATTTCAGACCAGAGGATAATTTTGCATTAGCAAGGAAATGAGTAAGTGATCTAAAATGAGTAATTCTTGCTCCTCTGCGATACGTTGCATGGCACAGGGAGTTCTGCAAAACGTTCTGCAAAAAAAAAAATATGGAAGCTACATTTTTCCTGGTGATTGCCAAACGCAAGTTTTAGGGGCTAATGCCTGCACAACACCTTAGTTAGACTTCATTTGAGAAATACTGCTACCCAAGGATACATACAGAGATGTGAAAGTCCTTGTTCAGCCTGCCAGGTAGCTATAAAACTACTGGCATTCAGTGTGCTACCCAGTAGTGGGAGCCATATAAGGGGGAAGCACTGGGGTAATATGTGGGGCCAGCTGTAGGACAGGCCTTCCAAGCCTTTCTTTTTATTGTATTTCTTTTTCTAAAGGTAGTACATATGTTCCCTCCCTCTGGTCTCTCTGAAGGACCAGCCTTGGGGCAGTACTGGTTTCAGTGACACATGTCATCTAAATAAATAGAAACTACACACCAGGTCAAAAATTTCAAGGCATCAAACCAAATAGTTCACTTCCATGAATAGTTCCAGTCCCAAATAGGTCCTTTTTTTTTTTTTTTTCCTGATTGTAAAGCACTGATTCTGGACGAATGTCATTCAGTGTGCAACTCCAGAGGGATGCTGAATGACAGAAAGCCAGGCGTGCTCCCTTTGCTTCAGAAATAAGCACAGTGAGACACTTGCTGTGAGAGCAAAAGAATAATCTGCTCAGTGATGGCCACTACCCAGACCAGGCATGGCATTATGGAGACATAGCAGATCAGCTCTGCAATGTGCTTTGCTGGTATATTCAGCCTTCTATCTATACCAAGCTATAAAGCTTGGATCAGACCGGATCTGGGCTTGGTTCCAAGCTTCCTCCAACTTCAGGGGAGCATGGATTAATATCCAGCCCTGGGGCCTGGTTCTGCCTATGAATCAATCTATGTAATTCTTTAGGAAAAGTCCAACCTGTGAATTATCCACTAAGTCACAGAAGAGAAGTCAAAGCTCTGTGTCTGAGCATGTTTCCTTTACCTGCACTGAACAGCCAGTAAATAAATCCAGGTGGAGCCTTTTGGTAATCCTGGATTGCTAATCTGAGCATTTGCTTTGGACAGAAACCACCCAATCTTAACCTGCTCTTAATTTCCTTTCTTCTGATTAAGTCTCTGCAGTGAGATAGCAGAAAGGTGCAAGCTTTCCCCAGCAGCCTTTGGTAGGGTTCTTCTTGTACCCTAAAGCACAGTTCAAAGCAAGGCAGAGATGGAGCAGCAAGAGACTTGCATGCGCTCTGGACTTGAGCCTCAGCATTCCCCATTACCAGGCCTTTGGATTAACGTGACAGCTTCCCTGCCACTCTAGATGTGCCACCAGATTGATAGTAAGTGCTACAGGGGATTGCCTACAGCTTGCACGTCCTGATGGTGAAAAGGTTTGAGGTCAAGTTTTCCAATAAGATACGAGCAGGAAACCATGCTGACACCAACAGAGTGATAAATAGGTGTAAAAAGGAGATGGCAATTAAGAAATGAGATACAGGGCAGATGAGGGATCAATAAAGCTGTTTTGTTTAGATTGAGGTCTCTTTCAGGCCTGTCTTCTGTGACCCCAAATATTCATCCTTTTCCACCTTATCACTGTATTATTACTTGTTACGTTAATGACAAATACGTCTCATTATTGCTGCTACCATCAGTAATAGCAGCAGTTTATCAGCAGTGTTTATTAAGTCAAATTCTGTGCCAACATAAATCTTTCCCTCCCAACACAATTTAAATGTCATCTAAACTGGTAGTGCTGGAGACAGTTAGCTCTGCTGCAGTTTGTCAGGGTTTGCTACGCGTCCCAGACCTGCCAACCCACCATCCTAAGCCTTTACTAACAGCTTCCTTTTCCTTTTTCCCTGCTACTCTGCTTGCTTTCGGAAGCTGAAATGAATTTCTTTTTTCCAGCAAAGACCTATTGGCAGTTCCCAATGGAGATATTGGCAGTTCCCAATGGAGATATTCCAAGTCCTGCTCTGAAGAACCGTGCTGGTCCCCCATTCTTCCTGTGAAGCACTGGGCAACTCACTGACGTGAGCAGCTCGTGACCCTGTCCATAGGCAGGATGCAGCTGTTTGATATTTGATATTGCTTCCAACACAAATGCGTTAGTACCAAAACTAGCAGAATTCCTTACTTGATTTCTGTTTGTCCTCCTGCTTTTCGGGCAATTTGAACCAGCTCCTTCCCGTACCTCTCTTCTGCTTGAGCTCTGTTAAAAGAAAAACTTTCTCAATTTCTCCTAGTGGTAGCAGCATCGTGTTTACAAAGCTATTCTTGTAATTGCATCTGAGGTAGGAAATGTGAGAAATAGCATTTCTTTATTTCCTCTATTTTCATTTTCTCTGCCTCTTCTATTCCAGTGCTAGCAGTTACCTCTAGAATATTTCGGTTGAGCTATTTCTGGAAGAAATGAGAGAAAACAAATGCTCATCTTCATGGCTTTGATCAGACTATGGATTCAGCTAGAAGATGATGCATAAAGAGAAATGTAATGAAGATGCTCAGGAACCTCTTTTGCAGAAGAAAGCTAAAATGTGATGGCTGACTTGGTGGCCAAAGTGAAAGCTGGGAGGGAAGGAAGAGTGGGTACCAAAGGATCTCTTTAAAAAGAGGTTGTAAGTGGGAGGTGAGAGTAGTAGGAAAGCACTGGGAACATAAGATGCCTTCTTGAGTAGCTGCAGTGGAGGCAGAGGGGGAAGTAGCTGTGCTGGTTATAAGGTGAGGCCCTTCAGTTTGGGAGGGGGGTGGGACAGCAATGTGGTGCAATGCCTCACCTAACTCATGACTCAGGAAAGTGGTTCTGTTTTCACAGAATTTCACAGAATGGCCAGGGTTGGAAGAGACCTCAAGGACCATGAATCTCCAACCCTCTGCCACATGCAGGGCCACCAACCTCCTCATTTAATACTAGTCCATTTAATACTAGACTGTTTCTATGGTTTATAAAGGAACATAATGATTTCTTGGCTGCTTTCCCCTCCCCCAGCTCTGAAAGAAGTTTCTCATCTCTTTGAAAAAAGATATTTTTTTTTTCATAAAATGTTTTAAAACCTGTGTGGAAGGCCAAGGCAGAAATGGGTTTTCAGCCTTTTCATAGCTGCTGAATACTGTCGAATGGTCAACAACAGATAACAGCACGGTTAGGATGATTGTTATTTTAAGTTTTGCTTAAGATAAGTCCAGTTCTCAGGAGGGATTTCGAAGCATTCTGTAGGCTTTTGAGCCTGAGACTGGGCACCTTGGAGAAATATATCATTTGTGCAAAAACGGAATTGTGATGCAGGCATCACAAGTGAAAGCTGTGCAGTCCCGCTGCTTTGTTCTCATATCTGCCTTCCTGCTCAGCCCCTGAGCTTGATAACTGCTGTAGGCTGAGCTCAAGCAGTTTGCTTGGGGTGGGACTTCTGGTATTGCAACAGGGAAGCTGTTTAGGTGCATCTCTGTTTGAGAACATCTGACTGCACCTTTGGATGTCCGTCCGTGTGCATGACCCCTAGCTTGCAGCCAGCTGGACGTGTGGGCTGGTGGTTGTGGTGAAATCTCACATGCAGGTTTGCAGCTTTATATGCAGCATATTGAGGCAAATGAGCACGGCCAGCTCTTAAGCCAGTCCCAGCTCTTGCAAAACCATTGTGCCAAATATTTCTCAGACCTCACCCCGGACTGTGGTAGCCTAGAATCAGACAGGTCTGACAGGTCACTGACAACATCTTTGCACAACTTGGTGCTGTCTTTCCCACTTTCTGGTGCTCTTGCATGCAGCTTTTGGGTTTCCCTGCAGCAACCAACAGCTGGAACGTTTTCTGTTTTAAATCTAAGGCTTTGTTATGAAATGTGACTTCTTTGTCAGCACCCAAGCTCTTCAACTCTCCGCTGGATCAGGCAGGGGTATTTGTGAACAAAGGTAACTGATCAGGGGGGGAAGCTGAAGTGTTGATACAGCCAGGGCAGAGGTGCCAGCACTCAGGGCAGCTGCTGCAGGGACCCTTGTTGAAATTCTGGCACCAAACCCATGAGACAGACAGCAGGCCTGTGTACACTCACTGCAGTGGTTTGCGGGTGTACAAACACTCATGGAAACACTTGTTCTTGCAGCGTTCAGATGTGCAAAATGACTCTAAATGTATTTTTTCTCCTTTGTGGAAAGTCTTTTGTTGCCTCTACCACAGAGCAGGAAGAACCTCATCCTGCAACTGGCGGAAAAGCCTCTAATATGTTTTGAACCACAGGCAAGCGTAGCATCAGATGTGTGCTGCAGTGCAGAGCCTGCCTGAAGCCTGCAATGCAATTCTGATTTCTGTAAGTTATGAGTCACAAAGGAGCTATTTTAAGCAGATAAAGTGAAGCTACCGGCAGGCTGATGTGACTTTGGGACTCTGTGACATGTGGCAATAAAATATGCTTCCACTGGTGATCAAGAAAAGCAATTCAAATAGCTTTGGATTTTGATGGGAGACTCTTCACACTTCGAAATAATGAATTTTCAGTTTGACAGCTCACATCCCCGTGAAAGTTCCAGTGCTTGAAAAGTAGCCTTTAGAAAAGCAACCTAAAGCCAGAAAACTGGATGGGGGCAGCGTGGGAGGAAAAAGGAGGCTGTGGCTGGGGAAGGCAGAGCGATATTCATACAGAGACAGGAGCACCTGCTGAATATATAATTCATATATATAAAGTGTGAGGGCTTCCTAACAGGTCACACACGAGTTATGTGCCTCACACTGCACATCGCTACTGTTGAAACTCAGCCACTTGAAAACAGAACCAAATCTAAAACTTTTTTGTAAGTCAGAATTACAAAACTGAACGGCGAAGTTGGAGCAGCTGTGTAATATTTATTTTCTCACCCAGAGAAGTGCTTGCTGTGCATAGCTGTTGCTGAGGGGCTCCGAGGAGTGTGTAAGGATGGAGATAAAGCACACTCAAAATCTGGTGAGGTGGGCAAATGATGCAGGATGTTCTGAGGACCTGGGAAGGGTTTTTGGTAGCGTCTTGCAGAGCTTTGTGTGTACTTGAAAAATGGCCCTTTTTTATAGTTACAGGAAGCTGAAACTGCATGCGGCCACAGCACATTTCAGGAGAAAGAAAAATGTACGAATTATCAGTTTCCTGTTGAATGTGGAAACTTGGTAGTGCTTCTTGCTGTGGATTTGTGTTCTACTCCAGTGTTATGGTCCAATAACTACCTGAGCCTTAATGAAGCTCTGGATTTTTGATCCTTTCACCCCTCTCTTCTCTCCTTAAACTTTCGAGATTTCTTTGGATTATCTACCTTTACAAATCATGTCAATATGCTTGAAAATTACCCATGGGAGAACAGCTATGTTAATATTCTAAGGCCTGCCTGCAGCAGGGGGGTTGGAGCTCGGTGGTCCTTGAGGTCCCTTCCAACCCAGGGAAGCAGCTGGGTGGATTTTTTTCTGGCCAGATGACTTTATAATCCCTCTCACTGCCCATCTCCAACACTCGCCTTGTCTCTTCTCTCACAAGATATAACTGGTGTAAAATTCTCATTTATTTTGTTTCATTTTCAGAACTTTATACTTGGTTCTGTATAAACAGCCCTGAGGAGTACAGGGCCCAGAAATGGGTCATTGGTTCATTTGACCACATTTGATCACTCAGCAGCTGTGACCACTTTAGGATTCACCTCAGTTGGGCTTTTCTAGACAAAGCAGTACAGTTGTGGAATACGGCAACAGCCTTACTATGTCTTTCCAGATGCACAGTGAGAGACAAAATTGTGTCTGTTCAAAGTTTTTGCACTCAGACTTTCTCACCTTTGCTTGAGCAAATCCTCTACATCTTTGCACATCTTCCTCCCGTCCAGCAGTCGCTGTACAAGCACCTCAAAGCCAGTGTGTAAGGTGAACTCCTTGCACTGAGGACAGAAAGATAAAGAGATTAGATAGTTTGTGCACAAAGCTTGCAGGTCTAGGAGATGCTTACTGTCAGTCATCTGAAACAAGTCCTATTCCTAGACATTCCAAATGTGCAGCAGCCAGAGCAGAGCTAAGGGCACTGTAAAAATCTTTGTTTAAATCCAGATCATTTTATAATAATGAAGAAGTGAAGTGAGTCCCACATTTTGCTGTGCCAGAAAGCTGTCATTTTGAGGAAGTCGTGCTTAGCATTGGGTGTGGGATTTTTGTGCAGTGGCTGCTCCTCTTCCTATGCGTCAGTCACCTCACCACTGTACCTCCTTAGCTGGTACAGAGGTGTTGGTTCTTTCCCTTCACAGTGTCTGATGTGTTGCTATGGTATGGCTTTGAGAGAAAAACAATGCTGATGACACACCAGTGTTTGAGCTGTTGCTGAACAGTTCTGCCAGGCAAGGGACTGGCTGGGCATCAGTCAGTGAGTGGTGAGCAATTGCTTGTGCATCACTTGTTCTGTGTGTATTATTATCATTTTGTGTGTACTACTGTCATCACTATTATCCTTTTTTCCTCTTCCTTTTCTGTCTTATTAAATAGTTATTATCTCAACCCATGAGTTCTACTTCAGGCTTTTTCCATTCTCTTCCCTATCCTCCAGGGAGCAGAGGGTGAATGAGTGGCCATACAGTGCTGAGCTGCTTGCAGGGTGAACCAGCACCAGCACGGGGCTCTCAGTAGGAGTGATGTGCTCTCTTAGATGCAAGTGGCAAGGTGACAACCTTGGCATACACACTGGGGAGAAAGGAAAGAAAGTAGGATGATGGTTCACGTGGCTCTACCAGCACAGGGTCTGCTCTACAGAGCCAGGCAGAACAATAATGTAGATTACAGGTGATGGAGAGCGTGCAGTGGAGCCACTCTTATCACTGTTGTAACAGTACTCAACTGATGATGGGATTACATGTGCTCATCTGACACATATAATCATCCTTTATGAAACAGGATCTCAAAACCAAAATATCAGTTTCCCTCCTGTTTCAAAGGGCTGGTTACAGACAGGCACTGAGAAGCAATCTTGCTATGGAATACACGAAAGGAGGAAAGCAGAAAGGTTCTTGCTAATACCCAGGCAATTTTATTTTTATTTTTTGAGAACTTCTCAAGGGCAGATGGCGTTGCTGCTGGAAAGCCTCTCATTAATCACTCACTCTGCCTGGCAGAAACCACTCAGATGTGCCACAACAAGCTCGCAGCACAAAAATTTTGATTGCATATTTCCAGATGCAATAAGCTATATCCCGTGGCTGTGTACACAGCTCCCTTGTCACAGAAATGCTGCCCATGGGTTATTATACGGGTCTGCATCACCCCAGCAGGCAGGCATACTGCTACAAGCAACCAACAGAAAGTGAAAAGTGCTCTATCATGTTACTTTGCTGCTTCTGTACAACATATCTCTGTACAACAAATGCTAAAATCCACTGTCTACTTCTTTGAAACTGGGGCAGATGGTGTAATGAAAGAGTAGCAAATGCTGCACATCAGTGAGCTACCAACAAATTCCCTAACTGAAGAATGCAATACCTATTCATTATTAGGCCCAAGCTCAGTCTCTCTTCCTCCCCCAGTCACCCACAGATGCAGCAGGGTGCTGCTGGTCGTTCTAAGGACCTGAGAAAACTACTAATGGACTCAATTCAGCCATTTGGACATCTTGTTCCAACCATAAAAATGCAAGGGGAAGAAGTCATGCCATTTTAAAAACTGCACCAGGGTCCGCTCTGCCTTGGTGACTGAGTGAATGAATTTTGCAACACGTCTAAGCAGAGAACCTCACTTCTGCATTAATAGATCCTTTCAAAGCTGTGCTGCTGTGTTTGGCACAGCCATGCTTTCTTGTTGGAGCTCTGCACATGGGCCTGCCTCCAGGACACGAGCTGCTGGGTTTGTTCTGGCATTAAAGGGACAATTTTGTGCTGCTCACTACTGCTCATGACTGATTCTGTCTTCCATCATTTTGCCTTCCAGCCTCATTACTTCAAAGACCTCAGAAATGCAAAAGACAGTCTTTGCCCATTATAAATACAGGAATGTTTTAGCCCTTTAAAAGAGAGATCTTTCTGTATGCATTAACACAAAATCTGCCATAGCACTTGCATGTTCCCAGATCACAGGGTTCCTGCCAGGCAGGACACAGGAGCAGTGTGCTCAGGGTTTGTTCTGCACATCCACATGCATGCATTTACGTGAAGCACAAAGCAGCTGATACCTTACCCAACAGCTCTGCTTCCAGTTTGCTGCCTGCAAGTATGATTTGAATATCTTGAAAACGTATCCACTTTCTCTTACCCCAGGCTCAAATGCTATCAGATACCTCCAGCACAGCATTTCATTCTACAACAAAAGCTGCTCCCAGACCATCCTTAATGTTTGGTGCTGGTATCTGCAGCGGATAGATTGAATGAAATGAATCCTGAGATCGGCTCTCAGAAGCCTTCCTGCAGCTCTGGCCTTCCCATTTCAGTGCAGCCACCAGCCTCTTCTTCACCCTCTTCACACTCCTTCTGTGTCTGTGCAAAGTCCTGCTTTGTTTTTCTCTGGTTTCTTAAGGATCTCCTACCAATACAACTGACCTCACGTTTTCTTTGTCGAGACAGCAAGACTGTATCATGTTAAAACAACTCTTGAGCCTTGATGAGCTGATTGGCCTTTATTCTATTTTCCTTTTACTGTTTTGTGTTATAATTAGCATTTGTGTCAATTGATTTTTGCAGAGGCAGTTGAAATTGCACTGCTCAGCTGGTGCTTGGGCTGGGACAGTGTGATGGTTGTAAGAAATGATGAATAGTAAGAGGATATTTGGGTAGGTTTTAATATAAATTAGATATGCCTTTTTAGATAAGGATATGATTAGATAAGGATATTCCTTATTAGATAAGGAATAGATTCATTCAACCTGTAAAACTAAGAGTTTCACTTAGAGAGTGAACTGGAACAGGTTGCCCAAGGAGGCTGTGGATGCCCCATCCCTGCAGGCATTCAAGGCCAGGCTGGATGTGGCTCTGGGCAGCCTGGTCTGCTGGTTGGTGACCTGCACATAGCAGGGGGTTGGAACTGGATGAGTTTTGTGGTCCTTTGCAACCCAGGCCATTCTATGATTCTATGAAAACATCAATTGTTTTGTTGCTTAGAAGAGAGCACTTCAAATTGCCACCAGTAATTTGTTAACATTGCCAAGTAAATAATTTACTCAAGGAAAGCACGTGCAACTGTGAAAGAGGATTTACTCATTGTCACTGTAATAAAAAGGATTAGTTAATCCATGCTGTCCAACAGACCTGTAATAACAAGTAAGAAGAGTATTTGACAAAGGGCTATCACTGTTGCAGGCAGATTTCTACTGCTCTGAGATTTTTCCATTAATACTTCATTAACGTGGCATGTGTACTTGGGTCTCTGCCCTGGAGCTCGAGGTTTTGCTTCTCATCAGGAGAATCACAGCTAATGCAGAGGCAGCATTTCATTGCTGTGCCTATTCACAGAAGTTGCCTCCTGCCAGTAGGAGAAGTGATGCTTTTCCCTCAGAAATAGAGCAACACGGCTGAAAGCACCAACTTTATACTGCTGTTTAACCAGAATAGCTTTTCCTAGCATACTTGAGAGGAGGCAGGAAAGGCTGCAAACAGATGCTGCCAGTAAGTGCACTGGGATATACCTTCTTTTTATTTTTCCTGTGGCATAAAGATGCTGCTCCCTCATGTTAATGGTGTTACCAAAACAACTACGTGCATTGGGACTGCAGTTTTCTGCAGAAGTTTTCCCACAGGCAATCACACAGGTAACCATTAGGAGTTAATTGTGGCAGAGAGTGGCTGGCTCTGAGCTATTTCTGCAGCCATTATGGCTCTGGGGACTTTGGTAGTGAAGGCTGCAAGTGGGAGGCCTGATGGTGTCAACTCCCTAGGGCGAAGATGGCTGAGCATCACCATGGCTTTGTCCTTTCTTCCTGCTGAATAAAGGTGAATCACCTTGTGCCAACTCTCAGGGCTCTAATTGGCTTTGTAGTGCCTCTCTTCTGAGCCTGGTGCTCAGAAGGTGTCTGCAAGGCTTTCTGATGAAAGTCGTGAGGTTGCTATTGCAATAATACCAAGTAGGAAAGACAAAATGTTTTACTAAAGCGTGAGCTTGGTAAATATCTGTTGGAGGTCACTGGACTGAAGCAAAATTGTCCAGGCCTTCATGCAAAACGCTAGCTCCATTGTGCAACCTTATTTATCCACCTGCTGTTATTCAGAAGGAGATGTGGATTATGTCATTGTGGTTTTGCAAAACAAGGGAGAATAGGCAGGCTGAGGTTGGCAATCAAACTTTTCTTTCATTTCTTGTAAACCCACCCTTTGCACTGTAGAAACATGAACGTTTGCTGAGGGTTATCGAGTGCTGCCTTGGGACCTTTTGTTATCATTTCAGGAGTTGACATGGGTATCTTTTAAACGAGGCTTAGTTTGCAATTACACTGCTGTCTTTGTTACCTAAGTCTGCAATGCAGTATTTTCCTGGGGAGCAAACACTATTTATTGCCAGACAGCATAGATGCGTATCTTGAATGATGTCTTCAAAAATCAGAGGGGAAAAAAAACATTGCTTTTGTAGCATTCCAATATACCGAGTTGCTAGATTGCTATCTCGCACTTCTCTGTCTAGCAAGGTAGGCTGGAGAACTTAAAATGAAGGCAGAGATTCTCATCAAATTTCAATTCTGCAGGAGCTACAGTGTAAAACAATAAATTGAAATTGATATTTCACAAACTCTGCAGCAGCATTGCACAAGTGGTGGCATTGAGCAACTAGTTGCTTCTCAGTTGTGTTTTGCTCCCTATGACACTGTAGATTTTTGCAGAGAAGGAAATGGCTGTTCTGCTGACAAGAGGAATTCGCTCCTCAGCTTCCTGTGCCCTTGCCCTTCTCACTTGTGCCCTGGGTAAGGTGTTCCTGCAGTCAT